TCCCTCGATCTTGGACACCTCTGTAAGTTGGACACATTTTTGTGGAACCCCAAGTGTCCAACTTAGAGAGGTTTTACTGTAGTTAGTTTTAGCAGTTAATCTTTAATGTTTTATGAAAACACAGTCCGACAACAGCAGTTTTCACTGAATTATCTCTTTAAGCTAAAAACAAAATGCTCACCTTAATAACATTCAAAATGATAGCTGCTACTGTGAAAGTTGCATCTGGACAGACTCCAAGAAGAAGAAACACTCGAGGTGCATAATACAGTGCTGCAGGTCTCCCTGAGAACTGCTGGAGGAACACCAAACCAAAAGCAAGCAATAATGTCTCAGCAAGGTTCCCCAAAGCACAACCAGTGGGGGATGGCTTGGTTTGGAGATTCTGAGATGTCTGTAAAAGCCTGAATTGCGGTGAATCAGGGAGAAAAATGAGGGCCACAAGACCCTCGATAATGGCGGGGATTGCACTCAGCCATACCACCATGCGCCACTGTGTGTCACTGCCAGTCCCAGCTATGCTTGACAACAGTAATCCAGCTGCCACACCCAGCTGGTGAAACAAAACAGCACGCCCCCTTGATTGTGGTTCTGATATCTCAGCAGCATAAATGCACTGAGCCACAGCAGACAATGCACCAGCAAAACCTCCTACCAATCTTCCACATAAAAGAAGAGGATATGAAGTAGCTAATGTAGAAACCACAGATCCCAGCACCAATAGGCTTGCAGTACAGCAGATGGTCCACCTTCGCCCACATCCATCAACTACAATACCTGAAACAAACAACAGATTCAGCATCCTCAAGAGAAAAACAAGAATGTAAAGAATGTAAAGTTGTAGCCCAATGAAGCACACATATTTTCCAAATGCATTCTTTGTAAAGTTGCATTTTAGAATGCTTGGACCTAATACAGAGACAGTAATAGGAAGATTAATAAAATTATGTACTGATTTACCCAATTTATACTCACTGCCTAACATTATTAGAGTGATAAAATCAAGGATGAGATAGGTAAGATGAAAAATTCATATTTTTTTGTTAGGAAGCATGTACAGAAGTAAATACTTGGGAACCCTTGGCATAGATGGGAGGATCATAATAAAATTAATATTAAAGAAATAAGGTATGAAGGCTTGGACTGGATTTAAATGGATCAAGATATGCTCCTTTAAATTAGATAAAGATGGTGAATTTCTTGACCACCTGAGTGACTATCAGTTTCACAAAGATTTTGCTCCATGATGTTCATTACTTAGCTATGGTCTTGACCAGCCATATTTACAAGAAGTACAAATGTGAAAATAAATGATCTTTCCACAAAATTATATGTCTTCAAAATTTAATTTAAAAATACAAGAGAAACAAGAAATGAAACTCAGTGATAATGCAGATTACAAAATTTGTTACACATTCAAACAATTGGGACGAAAGTACTAAGAAAAAATAATACTGCATAAAGCTGGCAACTAAGGTTTCATTCCCATGCTTACATTTCTGCTTTAAATTTAAAAGAACTCATCCTGCAGACTTTACAAGATCATATGATCATGATGCTGAGGCTGCACAAAACCCAAGTGTTAGCTGCTCAGTATGATTAGTCTTGACATACATTTATTACAGATCCAAATAAATTTGTTTCTTTCATCTTAAGTCCTTTGGCAGTAATGAGCATTTCAAAAGAGCATCATATGACAACACAACATGCATTGTCAACAAAATCGATTAAGAAAACTTACAGATGAAAATAATTGTCTCCTGTATTTCATCGAATATTTCAGGCCCATGACATCAGGAACAAGCATTTTTTTCTTCTTCACAGAATGGTTTTCCAATTTGGAAATGATATCAAAATAAAAGTCTAGTATTTCAGCACTTTTCTTCATGTGCCACACACTTGCGGCATAAATAAGGTCTACAAATGGATAATGTAGAGAGGCATATCTAGAGGGGTATGTAGAGTCCACATTGTACTTTATTAAACATTTATCATACTGAAAAATGGTGAAATTTCAGGTTTGCATGGTGACAAGATGATAACTGTGCTGTTGCACTGTACAGTCCGGTACAATGTTTCAAAGAAGACTATGATGTTTCAAAGAAGCTTACTGCCGTCAACATTGTAATACATCTGAAACGATGGTCAATTTCTAACAGATGACACAATACAACTTCCCTGAAGACAGCCAACTTCACATTGAAAGGTATTTGAAACAAAAGTTGCTCCATGAGATCGATATAAAATGACACATGCAAATTTTTGTATGAGAGGCTATGTTTGGCTTCACAACTTATGCCCAATACTAAATTTCACTGAAGTATATTCTACAGTTTCAAAGATGACATATTCAAACACACAGATACAACCTCTAAATAATGTAATTTTATGGACTTTGTATACTTGTAAGAACACAACAAAGTAATGTGAAATACATACATTGGTATACTTATTTCTCTGGATTGTTTGATTTGTCCAACACACAACTTCCAAGCTTACAACCATTCCGTCAAGTCATAGATTTATACTCTGGGGAAACTCAACAGATAGCAAAAGACTTTTTATCATCCACAAGAAAATCATTAGATTAATGGCAGGTGTTAAAAGAAATATTTAAGAAATTTAATATACTCCCATGTATAATAGGTCAGTTCACCAACTATTTGGGACTTTAGGAAGGCATATGACTCAGAGGAGAGGTACTGTATGGCATTTTGATTGAGTTTGGAATGGCAAAGAAACTTGTTAGGTGAATTAAGATGTGTATGGATGGAGTATCTAGTAGAGTTTGTATAGGTAGCCTGTCAGATCATTTCCCAGTGCACAATGGCCTAAAACAGGGGGATGCTTTGTCCCCAATGCTTTTTTAATTTTGTTCTAGAACATGTTGTCAGGAAGGTCAGAGGGAATCAGGAAAGGCTCGAACTGAATGGTGTACACCAGGTACTTGCCTATGCTGATGATGTCAATTTGCTGGGGCATTATGTGGGTACCATAACCAAGAATACAGAAACTCTCCTACAGGCTAGCAAAGAAATAGGCCTAGAAGCAAATGTAGAAAAAACTAAACACATGGGCATAATATGGGATCAACATCAACAACAATGACAGAACATAATTATAAGTAACACATCATTTGAAAATGTTTCAAAATTTAAGTATTTGGGAACTACAATAACAAATAGAAATGGGGTTCATGATGAAATTAAGAGTAGAATACATTTGGGGAATGCTTGCTTTTATTCAATTCAAAAACTGTTTACTATCCAAAACAACCAAGATCAGGATATACAGAACAATAATATTGCAGGTTGTCTTGTGTGGTGGTGAAACACGGTAACTAACTTTAAAGGACGAATGTAGATTACAAGTGTTTGAAAACAGAGTGCTCAGGAGAATATTTGGAGCTAGTAGGGATGAAATAAGTGGGGAATTTATGATATTGCATAACAAAGAGCTGTGACACACACAGGTAATCTATCATAGTGAGGATAGTGAAATCTAGGAGAATATGATGGGCTGGACATGTAACACGCATGGGGGGGGGGGGAGGCAAGGGATGCAAACAGGATTTTGGTGGGGAATCCTTCTGGAAAATGATCACTGGACAGACCAAGGAGATGGGAGGATAACCTCAAGATGGATCTTAGGGAGGTGGGCTGTGAGGATGGCAAATGGATGGAGTTGGCTCAGGGTTGTGGCGGGCTTTGGTGTTGTCGGTGTTGAACCTTCGGGTTCTGCTACCAGGGAGTTAGTTAATATACTCCCCAATGCAAGTGAATTCCTACTCTCATTTCTGCCTTTATTGTCAACAATATGGAAAAGATCCAAACAAACTCTAACATACATAGCAAAAATACAAGGCATAAGCATGATGTCCATCACTGAACCCTAACATCACTAGTTATCAGAAAGTTGCTTGCTATGCAGGGAGAAAACTACTCATTACTCTTTCAGACAGCATTAAAAGTTTAAATCAGTACTGAAATATTATCTTTTATCTCACTCCTTCTACTCTACAGAAGAATTTACTTCAATTCAAAATGTTTAAGTACTGTAAATATTTATGTAAATAACTATAGTAGGTATGAAACAACAATATCATTTTGGTATTTTGTTGTACCAAGTGCTCATACCCACACCATGACAAGTTCCACATAATTTGTGTGTACTATTTCTGATCCAAGGAATGTAAATAAATTTGAATTATAGAAAATGTGTGTGCAGCAGGTATTAATAAAATAACATATTACATATCTATAAAACATTCTTATTTAAAATAGGTACAAATTAAATCATATTACATAATAAAACATGTAGTTATATAAATCTTGTACATGTAGTTTCTATACTGGTTAAAATTTGTAAAAATAGTTTCAGTAATGTTGGCTAATGCTACATTTTTCATATATTTATCACCGTTATTTATTAATCTTCAGTTTCATGAAGACCAATGGCAGTTTGTTTCATGGTACTGTGTGCAGATCCTTCATGATATAGTGATTTGTTCTGGATATTGAATATAGTGATACATAGGGTAGCTCACTACAGACATGTCATAATGACTGGTTTGTAAATATACAAATTCTTGCATGCATTAAAAGACCAGACCAAGATACAGGTCCTACTTTTTTGAACATGGGATAAAGCTATGAGCTGTATATCTGGGCCACAAGGCAGTTTCAACTTTGTGTGTGGTGACTTCTACGTAACTATGACATACCTCCAACAAAAGATGCAATTATAGCCCCAATAAACCATGTGCTGCATATTACATGCTGCTCCATGCATGTCAGTTCGAAAGTGTCTTTTATCTGTAACATGATGCTTGTAATGATACCCATATCATAACCAAATGCCAGTCCTCCCAAAACCGCGACAAATGATGCCAGTAATATTGTAACATGACTTCTCGACGTAACATCTATCACATTAGAGTCACTAGTACTGGCAGGTTTCCGTACCACAACAGTCGCACTTATTTTTTCATTGTCTTCATTTTTCCCACTGAGGAGAATTGTCGTGTCTTCTTCATCCGACATATTTATTCATAAATACAAATACTGAAACTCTATCTTCGTTTCTAACTCTATATACATCAATTTCTACCTTGTATTTTGACACAGTTCAACACTGCCATGTGATTAAATAATTAACAATTACAAATGTAATCGCTACTGTCATTTACACGCATACTAGATTACTTACACCCCTTTCCTTACAACACCACTTTGAATAAAATACTGATATCAGCAAATTTCTAATATTCGTCGTTGATCCGTATAGTTACAAAACTTCTGGGCACTAAATAAGACGGATCACCTATACTATTTATATATATATATATATATATATATATATGTATTTATTTTTAACGATTCAAGACAAAAGATAACTATTACCGCAAGTTTTAACGATTCAAGACAAAAGATAACTATTACCGCAAGATGGGAAACTCTAGAATGTATGTTGGTACCCTGATAGTCAGGATTTGTAGTTACAGATTATACCAACATACTGTTTGATATATAGAAATAAAAAGAAACTTGCACAAAAGCCTTCATATATGATTTTCAATAAAGGAAAACGTATTAGTTTTGTATGCATATTAAATCCAACACCATGGGCTAATAATACATTTAGCTGGTCAAAAAATTCCAAGTCTTTGAATCTGATGTTTTATTATCGCATTAACAATAAACCAATCCCAATCCAGACCCAGACGAAACCAACCCTCGCCTGACTTCGTTAGTATCCATTTTAATATTGCATATAAATGAATTGTGCACACTGTGCAAATTAATTTGATTTTTGTTTCTTTGCTGTAGCTGTAATGTATCATGTCCCTTCTTTATAAATCAAGACGTGGTACCTTTCACACAGTGCGTGGCTAGGTTTGCATTCATAGCCTTCGTCTTGGGTATGGAACTTTCCTACTTTGCTAAGTTTATGACGAAATCCATGCACTAACATGAGTGTCACTATTCATCTACGCCTACGTCTTTCGAGTGTTCTTCCTGTACGATTTTCAATAAAAATTTTGTATATACTTGTTATCTACATGTGTGTTAAATGACTCGTAAATATTGATTGAATTCTATTGGGTTCTGACAAAGGCACAAATATTATTATGACTATGATTAAAGTATTTTCGGAGTACTAAATGATTTTAAACGTTCAGAAATGCATTAATGATTTACTGCAGGCTGCAATAGGCACATTTTTTGCTGCTTATGTCTGTGGGGAAATTCCATTCTTCTAGTTGTCTAACATGAATGTTTGCCTTCACTAACTTGACAGTAGCGAAAACATGGCAGACGTGGTAAAGGAAGTTGTTGGCCACGATGAAAATTTGACAGAAAGTGTCATCAATTCAACAACCAGAATACCAGCAACGGCAGAAGGGATGGCCGTTGCTTATGGAAGTCTTGTTATAATGGCTTTACTTCCAATATTTTTTGGTTCTTTTCGCTCAGTGAAACACCATAAGGAGCAGAAGGTAACCTACGTGTAATCGGTACCGTGCAGGTTGTTCTTTGATTGTGGTGCTGACGTCTTTAATTCATGTTATAATGTAGTTAATTTTACCAGAATATTCATGATTACATGAACACTCCCAATTTTGACTAATTTCAATTTAGGAGAATTATACGTAAGTGTGTAAGTGAAAATTTTTATTTTGGAACCCAGTGTTCAGAATTGTTTTTATTGAAATCAGGGCTCAGTAGAACTCAGAATGTTTACAACCTTTGAAAATATAGACTTGCGTTACTGAGTTTTAATAGTTTTGTACACAATTCCGTTTTGTAAAAGATTCGGCTTTGTGTATGTGGGTGACGCGTTTTATGAAACCTTTGTGCATATTGCCATCAGAAAATTAAAAGGGAAATAAGCATGCTGCAGTTGTATGTATTAGCTTGATTGATTATTTTCTTGCAGTTCTCCATATGTATAATTCTTTCAGTGTATGTTATGTAGTGTTTTATAACTGATTTTTTTTGCCATAGGAGCATTGTGAATTGTCATCTTTATTACATGTTTTCCTTTATAGGAATCAGGAGAGAAGCCTGAAACTATGTCACACAAAGATGCTGCAATGTTTCCTATAATAGCCAGTGCAGCACTATTTGGATTGTATATTTTCTTCCAGGTAAGTGAGATAATCATCTTAAATAAGTAATGTTATTACATAGGGGTTGTTTGAAGGCCTTTAGTATGATTATGAAAACGGTGTTACTGTGTCCACAAGTGATTTTGTGGTCATTACATTATTACTTAGTTTAATTATAAAATTAGTTCCATATGGTTTAGATGCTGTACAGTCTCAGCATAAACTTGACTGGCCTTCAAGGTAAACAGGTATTGACTTTTATTTTGTTGGTTAGCTTCAATAGTATCAAAGTACATTATGCATTTTATTTAAACAGTTAGTACGACTAATACAATTATAATTTGCTGGTGGAATAAAATGCCTTTTATTTCTTGGACATTGTTAATTCATTAATGCCACTTTATATTTAATACCTTTAATCTTAAATCAATATAAATGAGGTGAGATTGTGTATTAATCATAGGAAAGACAATTCTGTCTCTGCCCATCTTGTCTTAATTGTTAGCTTTTTAAATAAAACAACAGCTGTGGATGCCTTTTACATGGAGAAAAATTTAAGAAATGTATCCAGTCCATCATAATCATCTGAAAAATACATGAAATGTGCAAGTTATGAACACCGTAATTTTATAACTGACAAGCTCTCTGGTTGTAATACCAAGCAAAGACCATCACTGGACATGATCCTTTGTTAGTTCCATTTATCTCCATTGAAACCACTTCATCTTATTTCTCCAAGATTAATTTTGTTTTGAAATAGGCCATGATTACTTGCTTAATCATTCTTCCTAATTTACCATTCACAATTATTCTTTATGCTGTAAGAATTCTTCTTCTTCTATGGCTCTGTGGTCCGTATTCGGTCCATGGCCTCATTTCTCCTCTTCCATTCGGTCCTTCTGTTAGGTCCATTTTGTCCGAGGCTTTGAATGAGGTTTTGAAACATCTTTATTTTTACGGTACAAGGTTGTTAGCCTTGTGACCAACCCCCGACCTGGAGGACCAGGGTACCTGTCTTAGTCTGACCTCTCCCCCTCGACCAATCTGGCTAGGGAGGCCCTACCAGTAGCTATGCTACTGCCAGCATAGCTCTTGGGATCACTGAGGTACTCAAGCCCCACCACCACGACAAGGTGCAGGTACCATTAAGTGGGGATGCTGTATGAATTACATAGTTGAAAAAGTATCATACAATAACCCAAGAATTAGTCAGTCAGACTCAATTAAAATTTTACTTTGTACTATTCTGCAGCTGAATCACAGCACTGTAAACTGTACTTCCAGTTTTATTTATAAAATGTTGTGTAATAGGAATTATATAATGATCCATATTAATGATGAACTATGATTTCATTCCTTTTTTTTACCAAGTAATAAGAGTGAATTTTGTATGTCAGTGGCCTAGTGAAAAGTGCATTTTAATTAAATAATGTTTAGCATGTTATAGTGGCAGACAAATGTAATTGATGTGAGATCATTTAGAGGAGCAGATTGCGACACTGATCATTATCTGGTGGTAGCAAAAGTGAGGGAGCGGCTTTCAGTAAGTAGACAAACTAAACAAAATTTTGACACAGAAAGATTTGATTTGAAAAAATTAAGTGAGGGAGAGGCAAAGGAACAATATCAAGTTGAAATTTCGAATAGGTTTCAAATTTTAGAGACAAATGAGGATAATGAAAGTGTGGACATCAACAGGGAGTGGGAAAATGTCAGAAACTGCATCAAAATTTCAGCAAAAGAGAAACTAGGATACTACAGGAGAAAGCAAAACAAACCGTGGTTTGATGAAGAATGTTCAAAATTAATAGATCGAAGGAAGCAAAAAAAATTTCAATGGTTGCAGAACCCAAACAAAACAAATGCGGATAATCTATGTAACGTGAGACGTGAGGCTAGTAGAACCTTTAGGACTAAGAAAAGGGAATACCTGAAGGGCAAAATTGCTGAACTTGAGACAAATAATAAGGAAAAAAACATCAGAGACCTGTACAGAGGCATTAATAACTTTAAGAAAGGATATCAACCCCAGACTAATTTGGTAAAGGATGATAGTGGCAATTTGCTTGCAGATCCAATAAAAATTGTGAATAGGTGGAAAAATTTCTTTAGCGAGCTCTTAAATGTTCATAATACTGGTGATATTAGACAGATTAAAATGCATACAGCTGAACTGTTGGTCCCAGAACCTAGCTTAGATGAAGTGGAACTAGCCATTGGGAAGTTGAAAAGTTATAAATCTCCAGGAATTGATCAGATTCCGGCCGAATTAATTAAAGCAGGTGGCAAAGGGTTGCATATGAGGATCCATAAGCTTATTCAGTTAATTTGGGATAAGGAAGAGATGCCACATCAATGGAAGGAATCCATAATTATTCCTATTTATAAGAAGGGGGACAAGACTGAGTGTGGTAATTACCGAGGAATATCGCTGCTATCAACCTCATACAAAATTCTATCCAACATTCTTTTGGCAAGATTAACCCCATATGCGAATGAAACTATTGGGGATCATCAGTGTGGGTTCAGACGAAACAGATCAACGATTGATCAGATCTTTTGCATTCGTCAGATACTAGAGAAAAAATGGGAGTTCGGTGGGACTGTACATCAGTTATTTATAGATTTCAAAAAAGCCTATGACTCTGTGAAGAGAGAAGTGCTATATAATATTCTTATTGAATTTGGTATACCAAAGAAGCTAGTGGGTCTAATAAAAATGTGCTTAAATGAAACCTGCAGCAAAATTCGAGTAGGTAAATATGTATCTGAGACATTCCTCATCAAGAACGGTCTAAAACAAGGAGATGCTTTGTCTCCCTTGCTCTTTAACTTTGCGCTAGAATACGCCATCAGGAAGGTCCAAGGTAGGCAGGAGGGTTTGCAATTGAACGGGACACATCAGCTATTGGCATATGCTGATGATGTTAATTTATTGGGGGACGATATAAATACAATAAAGAGGAACGCAGAAGTTTTACTAGAGGCTGGTAGACAAGTGGGGCTGGAAGTAAATTCAGAAAAAACTAAGTACATGTTAGTATCTCGTCATCAGAAGACAGGCGGGCAAAATTATCTTAGGGTAGCTAATAAATCCTTTGAAAGGGTTACAAAGTTCAAATATTTGGGAACAACAATAACAAATCAAAATGATACTTGTGAGGAAGTTAGGAGGAGACTAAATTCCGGAAATGCTTGCTACTTCTCAGTCCAAAATATTTTGTCTTCCCGTCTGATTTCTAAGAACCTGAAAATTAAAGTATACAAAACAATAATCTTGCCTGTTGTTTTGTATGGGTGCGAAACATGGTCTCTCACTCAGAGGGAGGAACACAGATTGCAGGTGTTTGAGAATCGGGTGTTGAGGAGGATATTTGGGCCTAAGAGGGAAGACGATGGGGCGTGGAGAAAACTGCACAATGACGAGCTTAAAAATCTGTACTGCTCCCCCAGTATTGTGAGGGTGATTAAGTCGAGAAGAGTGAGATGGGCGGGACATGTAGCGCGCATGGATGGGACAAGAGGTGTGCACCGGGTACTGGTTGGGAAACCTGAAGGGAAGAGACCGCTGGGGAGACCTAGACGAAGATGGGAGGATAATCTCAGGCGGGATCTATGGGAGATAGGAGTTGAAGGAAACTGGATTTTGTTGGCCCAGGACAGGGTCCGGTGGAGGGCTTTGGTTAATTCGGTGATGAACCTTCGGGTTCGGTAAGCCATCTAGTTAGTTAGTTAAGACGAACTAAGTAAAATATTAATTAAGCTTTACGTGGTTTTGTAAAACTGTATGTCTTGTTTCTTACTCTGCATAAATAAACCGAACATTAAATATATATAAATAGTTAGTTAGCATGTTATAGTTTGACTTATGTATTACCTCCACAGATTTTTTCCAAGGAATATATAAACTTACTGTTGACGGGATACTTCTTCTTCCTTGGTATCTTGGCGCTGTGTCATCTTATGAGGTAAGTGATATATCTTATTTCTTTTGTTTTCATCTCCCCTAGTCTCTGTCTAAGTTTTCCTCTTAAGTCAAAATAGGTAATTATATGTATTAAATATAGTATAAAGTAGCCTATTAGGTAACAACAAAATGTGCATTCTGAGAGGCCAAATAACTGCCCCATAAGTCAGACTCATTAAACTTCAATCTTATATGTAAGCATTCAGTTGTGTTATTGATATTATGTGGTAATTAAGACCCTCACCACATGCAATATTTTGAAATTAAAGTGATGTTTCAGTGAAATCCTCAGGTCAGTCTTGTATGTGTTGCCAACTGGAGGTGGAAAAGGCTAAATTGAACTAAGATTAAGATTATCAAAATCTTAAATGGAGTTAAAAGTAACAGAATTTTAAAAGAGAATGGGACTTTGTAAAATTAGCGAGTCCATTACGGGTTTTTACATTCTTCTAAAATATGTTGTGAATTGCATAAGCAATGAATTACTATATATTATTTTTCAGGTAGAGTGGAGGCCATTGAATCATAGAGATTAAGTATGTACAATTATGATGTTAAATATGGAAATTAAGGTGAACTGAACTGGGGGATATGAATATATGTTGAAGTGTGGGTTTCTCAATATCTCCACACTAAAACACGTATAAATCTTAGTTCAATTCCACCTTTTTGCGTCCAGTTGGCAAAACACAAGACTGCCCTGAGGATGGTACCATTATACAGAAATATGTCATAGTACAAGTAACTTGAATTTCAGAATATTATATGTGTTGAAGATCTTAATCACCACATCACTGAACTTTTATACATATTTTTACCATATTTGTCATTTAAGTGCTTATTAGGAGAACATAAATGCACATACTCTAGTCAGTGAAGTGTCATCAAAATTGCAGATATTTGTGTTTCAGCCCAGTAATAAGTTCTCTGGTACCAGCTGCTATTCCAAACATTCCATTCCACCTACACTTCACACAAGGTGGACCTGATGGTGATGATGACCTCATTAATTACCGTTTCTCCTCCCATGATGTCGTCTGTCTTGTTTGCTGCTCGGTTGTAGGAGCATGGTACCTTATTAAGAAGGTAAGGTGGTATTTCATATCTGTTGAATCTGATTTAGCAATTTCAATTTTCAAAACCTGTGTATTAAATATGTGAATGAGTTTTAAAATATGAGTACTGGGGGGAGGAGGAGAAAAAAATAAAAATGAGATGAAATTAGGAGATGCTTATTATTCAGTTAAAAAATGATCATCTGGTTTATTTTCCAGAATACTAAATATCAAGTTATAGTGCCACACAGTATATAAGTTTATTTTTTCACATTTTATGGCTGTGTAATATGACCTCTTACTCCAAGGAAAAGTGACAGTAAATAAACAACAAATATAATTCAAGAAAAGTACACAAATGACAAGTGTTGGGAAATAGAGTGCTCAGGGAAATATTGAGATTCAATAAGTGGACAGTTAAGACATTATATAACAAGGAACTTCATTATTTTGTGCAGGTCATCTTGTAATGAAGTCAGTGAAGTTTCATTAGGCAGAGTCGGGGGAGAGGAATGGTGGGAAACAAAGTGCCCACTTTGAAGACTGAGGCTGCGAGGTGGATGGAATTAGCTTAGGACTATGTCAAACAGCAGGCTTGAACCTTTGGGTTGTACTACCAGCACAATAGATAGAACCTGCTTAATATTGTGTTTCCTTTCAGCATTGGATTGCTAACAACTTGTTTGGCATTGCATTTGCCATAAACGGTGTTGAGCTTCTCCATTTGAATAATGTTGTGACAGGCTGCATCCTCCTGTGTGGGCTGTTTGTGTATGATGTCTTCTGGGTATTTGGGACCAATGTTATGGTAACTGTTGCCAAGTCCTTTGAGGCTCCAATTAAATGTAAGTTATCTTAATTAGCTACTTGCATACAAGAACTGTATACAAATGCCTCATTGTACATTATACACCAGTTTCATCATCTTATGACCTACTTACACAATAGTAAAATATCATTGAAGTATACCTCATGGTCATATTGATTGTGGTCTTGTGAGTTGTGACACTATGTGCCCTTGTAAAGTGGTAAACAATATTTTGGTGTTATGTATCAATCTTCAGGGTGAATTGAGTCATTATATAAGCGGAGGATTAAGTTCACTTTTTTATTCATTTGTCACTATGTAATATCTGCAGTTTAAAATGTTGTCAACCTAAGACTTGTCAACTGTCAGAAAGTAATATTCATTGAGGTAGGATGTTACGGGGTAAGGTGGCAGGGAGCACTATTATAGTACAAAGTCTCTGAAGAAGCAGTAGTTATGGACTTATCATGTGTGCACCTTAATTTCCTTGCAAGATGTTTGATTGAATTAACCTAAATTCTCTGTTTCAGTGGTTTTCCCACAAGACCTCCTCGAACAAGGATTATCAGCAAACAACTTTGCTATGCTTGGTTTGGGTGACATTGTAATACCAGGAATTTTTATTGCTCTACTTCTACGTTTTGATAATAGGTAATTAAACATTCAGAGGTAAAATTTAGATCTGCTACTTTCTGCTGTGTTAAATTTGATGAAGGGTCAATTACCAGTATTGGTTTCATTGCATCTTCTTTGTCATTGAATGTAAAATTGTTCTTTCAGTCTGAAGAGGAATTCCAACACTTATTTTTATGTGACATTCTTGGCATATTTCATGGGTCTGATGGCCACCATCTTTGTGATGCATGTGTTCAAACATGCCCAGCCTGCTCTTCTGTATTTGGTGCCTGCATGTTTAGGCACTCCACTGCTCTTGGCACTTCTCAGAGGAGATATCAAAGCAATGTTTCAGTAAGTATAGTTTTTAAGAGAAACAGTACTGTAAATCACTTTTGTCTTGATTAATCAATGTCATCTATCCTTCAGATTTTGTGAATTTATTGTGATAGCTTCTTCTGTATTATATTTTGTAACATGAAGACAGTTTATTCTTCAGCTTCACAGGTAAGGAAGTTTTCATGACCTATTCCAACTTTGGATTTGTACAACTGATTTGTCCATCATTTTAGAGTGGACCAATACAGGAGAGCTTGTTTGTATACAGATAGCCAGGCAGCTTTGCAGGCCCTTGTGGCACTGGGGCTAATGTTGAAACTTGTCTGGAATGAATGGAAACTATATATTCTGGCATGGATTGCACATTTCCAGTGTTATTTTGAATTGTATTTTCTGAGGAGGTAGTCATTGTTATCTGACATTACACTTCTGAGTAAACAGTGTATGTACATGAGCTTTCTGTTTCTGAACATAGAAATTGTCAGGTTGGCAATAATATGTAAGTTTTGTATTTGGAAATAATGTATGTAACTACAAGTAAATTCTCCGGCAGCTGAATCTGAAGGTTCGGCACCATTACTGTCATTAGACATAGTCCTGAGCCAGTTTCATCCAGCTCCTACACTCAGTATATTTATCAGTGACCCATCTTTATGTTACATTTCCATCCACCTTGTAATTTTCCAAGTAACTGAGTTTGAAATTTCCATACAAAAATTCCATGTGCATTTTTTATCTTAAGTTACTTGCCCACCTTATTGTAATAGTAAGTGCTCTGTAACTGCATTTTTTGACGTAAATACGTCTATAAGGAAGGGTCATTCGGCAAAAAGTGTAACGAAAAAGTATAACAATGGTTACCTAGGGAACGTCGTCTGTTTACTCGGCATTATTGTTACCTATGAAACGTCATCTGTTTACTCGGCATTATTGTTACCTATGAAACGTCATCTGTTTACTCGGCATTATTGTTACCTATGAAACGTCATCTGTTTACTCGGCATTATTGTTACCTAGGAAACGTCATCTGTTTATTCGGCATTGTTGTTACCTAGGAAATGTTACATTACATTTCATTACATTAAAATACATTACTTTACATTACATTCATCTACCACAGACCCATCTTAAGCGTAACTAATTCAAGTTAAGCATTCAAGCATTTTTGTTACCTAGGAAACGTCATCTGTTTACTCGGTATTGTTGTTACCTATAAAACATTATATTACCTTACGTTACATTACATTACATTACCTTACCTTACATTACCTTACCTTATATTACATTACATTACTTTACATTACATTCAGCTACCAATTCATTTCTGTACAGACGTATTTATGTCAAATTCTCCGGAACCATGGTTCCACTGACAACTTTTTTTCAGAGTACACAAGCTGGACAGGAATTTATGTTGAGTATTTTTGTTTTGTAGGTATGAGGATCATCCATCTGAAAAGGCAGCAGAAACAACTGGAAGTAAAACAGATGTAAAGAAGGAAAAGTAATATGAATACATACAGAATATAAATTTGGCATAATAATTGAACAGTAAGGAAAATGTAAAATATTATTTGGAAATAACCAGTACCACAGTTTCAGAAGTGGCCCAGAGATGTAATATGTAATTTAATAAGGCAGTGGATGGCTTCAAATTACATAAGTTTCTATTTCATTCTTTCATTTTACTGGGCAGTTCATGCAATATATTTTAATACATAAATGCAAAAGATGGTGGCATGCTTTTATAACTGTGTATAAGGTATGCTTGTATATTGAGAAATATCTTTATTTCACAAAGATGGTTATGCAGTGTTGCACAGAAAGTCGGTGACATTACGCCATTTGGTAAATGTTGAAGTAAGATTATTGATCTTGATAATTTTGTATTAAAAAACATTTTCAGTTTCAGAGCAATCACCTGCAACCAAAGTTTTGCTGTATTTCAGTTGCTTTGGATTTGTTTATATTCAAGTTCTTTTCTGGTATGTTTCAAGTTTAATTGTTTGTGAATGCCAGTTAGTTGATCTAGAATTCCTTAAGCTTGTATATAGTCCTCTGTAGATTAATATCCAATGAAATGTATTCTCAGTCATCAATTGTGATATCCTATACAGACATAACTTTTGATGATCATAGAATTTCCAAAACTTTGTATGTACTTAAGATTTTCTCTAAGGTCAGTGATCACTGTCTACCATTTTATGGAATATAAACTGGGGTAAAACTACGGTATCTGTACCTTCTGTAAACTGTAATTGCATTATCAATCCTGCATATGAACTCAGATTTAAAAATAAATACATAAATGGGTAATTTCTTCCAAGTTGCTTCCAATAGATTAAAATACATACATTAAAATGCATTGATGTCATTCTTGCTTTAACATGAAGCAAACAAGTCTTTTATTAAAGACTACCTGAATCTGGCACCCGCTCATTAGTTTAAATGTACATTAAAATACTGAAATGTGTATCAAGTCTATTTGAAGGTCTCCATCAATTTAAATATATTTTCCAGGCAAGATAAGTTTCAGATTAAATTTATGAGATATTTTTTACATATGCATTTCACTGATGTGCACTGCTGAAGCAATTACTAGCAAGGCTGAAACAATCTGAAGTAAAAATTTATGGATCCACCTTGTGCAAGTAAAATGAAATATGCCTCATTTGTCCAACATGTTATGCATACAAATTTCACTTTGTTTTGTAGATGTAACTATATGTTTGTACTGAAGATTTTAAAACATTCAGACATCAGTCCTCGGATATGAACTTGTCTGGAAGAACTTTTCTCATGTTTCACTGTATTTTATTCTAACTGTATTTTCTTTCCATGTTACCTGTGAAATGTTACATGTTCTCATAAAAATGTTCAATTAAAAGTTGGCCACCTTAACTCTTTTGCACAAAAGCCATTATGCATCGCACAGTTTTACTTGTCATTGTCTTGTTGGGACATTTAAGATACCGGCACATTATTGTTCTGCACACTTTACAGAGTAAGTTAAAATTGTAAAAGATTGTTTATTCTGGTTGTGTTTACGAACTGCCATAAAACTGTCTTAAGATCATAATTGTACAGAATTAAATTTCTATCCATTCTTACATAAGTTCAGGTTAACATTTTAAATGTAAATTCTTCAAAGCATTAATGCCATTTAGAGTTTGTGTTTACTTTACTCTCAATCCTTTGTTGTATTGCCAAAATATTGTGAAGATGAGTCCAGGAGCTTCCATATTCTGCGGGAATTTGCTGGTATATTACAACCCTTTCTATGCTATGAGTAAGATTTCTTGCTCATGGACTACTACTTACTTCCCTGAACGTTGTATATGTTAAATGCTTTCAATGAAAGTATATTTTCCTTCCACCTCTTTATATTGTGGTTTTCATTAGTAAAAATTACAAACTACTATGAAAACAAACAAGGTGGTTATTTTATATGAGAAATTTTAGATTTTCACTGTGGTAAAGATATGAAGTGTGGTCTCATGAGTTTGGATGCTGTGCTGTCTTGTAGGTTATTAAATATAAGTTGCATGGCATAATAATCCATAAGATTATAATCAAAAATTATTTTATAAATTATGCTCAGAATGGAAAGGTCAATTCTTATGTTTGTTCACTATTGCTCTGTGCCTGTACACAGAGGCAATGGAATATTTTCCTTTCATACTGCACTTGTGATATTTTGTACTTAATGAACAGTCTTATGTCACAATTTAGTGGAGTACTGTCAGTATCATCAAGAGTTTATATGTTATTGTGGAATTTCAGTTCATAGTTGTTCATGTTGCTTCAACCTCCAGATTATGTGGTCAGTATGTACACATGTGTAGTAATGGTGGCTATTCTACTTTTTTTTGTGCTTATCATAGGAGTGTGCAGGAGGATACCACCACCACTTACACATATATTCCAAAATTGTGACAGGTTAGCAGAGGAAGATAAATTGTCTTGGAATAAACTTCCAGTGGAAGTTTCAATGTAATGTGGCACTGGAACACACACATCCCTCTTATCATTATATGGAAATCTGCCACCTTAAGTCTTCCAAATATAAACCCTAAAAAGAGATTTTGATGTTCAAAACATTCTCAAAATGAACTGTATGTTAGGTGCTGTATCAACTGCAGAGACATTTGGTGTCAGATGATGTGAGAGTATAATCAGATAAGGTGAACTTGTCAGGATTTGGGTGAAGTAGTAATTACCTGATATGAGGAGCTATCCCAGCATTTGTGTAGAGGGATAACCCTTGATTCAGTCTACTTAGTCCCCCCTGTCAAAGTAAATGGGATCTGTGCTCTCCAAATAAATATATTCCATTTTATACTGTGCTGCAACCCACAATAAGATAAAAAAATCTGATTTCAGAAAGGTTAAAGTGGAAATTCCATCTATCTCTGACCTAGCAAGGAAGTTCACAATGTAGGACAGTTTACAATATCAACAGCTGCAAATCAAAAAACATCTTGAAAGTAGTAGTTTTTGCAGCAGAGCTCATATCCATAGTTATACATTTGCAAGATTTCCATAATAAATTTATTTATGTGAACTTGACTGTGTGACTGCAATGCAGGTATTGTCAAATACATGAGCTGGGAATAGGATTAAGCCATTGGCAGGAGCGCTGAATGTTGCATCTCTTCTTTATATGTCCAAGATAGTCCTGGAGCCATCAGAGATGAGAGAAGGATAAACAAACTACAAATCACAATCTAGTCTAGTAGAGGTTTCTCTCATTGCATTGTATATGCTATGGTGATTGGATGAAGGTAAATTTTATCCCTTATGTTATTGCACAATGTTTTGGCTTGCGCTTGACTAACGATTCATCTGACTTCACAATGTAATGTGTCATATTAATCTAGCTTTCTCTGGTTATTTTGCTACAATCAGACTTTTCTAACTGACTCATATATTACTGATAATTAAGCTCTTAGAATTATATTTTGACCACAAATCCCTGTGCCTCAAAAAAGTACATCAATTCAGAACCATATAAATAAGCTACTTCTATTTTAAATCAGTAATTTGTGGTCCATTTGTATAGCATCTTCTGGATGATATAACTTCAACAGATGGCAATGTCAGCAGAAATTCATATTCAGAATTGTCAGTGTATGTTGCACAAATAAAATACTTGATCTATAATTAAAAATGATTTATAAAGATTCATTTACAAGATACCCCATAAAACCCATCTGTTTCCAGCATTATGTTAAGTAGGTTTGAATATCTCAGACTGAAGCATAAAGACAGCTGTTCACATTGTATCTTGTTCTGTTACTATTTCCAATGGCACAGGGTCTTCTTAAAATATTGATACTTACTCAGCTGTCAAGAAATATCCTGCATTTATGGAATCCCAAGGTTCATGAATGTTATGAAAGCCCACCATCTGACATGAGTATTTCAACATGCTGTGGGATAATGCAGGCCACGCAAGTACAATACAGACCACAAGTTATGCATGACCAGTAAACAACCATGATTTGAATCAGGCCTGTAATTTTAGACCAATTTCTACTCTTGGAAAGGTCATAATGACCCAAACCTTGTTTGGAGGAAGATGAAGCCTCTAATCACTGGTCTCACATAGTAGATTTTCTTTTATGTTAAGAAATGGAAATATACAGCTTACCTATACAGTTTATTGCAGAGGCATTATCCTTTCTATACAAGAGTGGATTAAAGGCACAGCAAATGTAGCTGCTTCTCCAGGTACCCCTTTATTGGTGAAGCAGTACCAGCATAAGCAATTCTTTAGCTACACGCGCTTATCATCGTGACAATGCAGAAGACCTAAAACTGTTCAAATTCTTTTACAGTACAGTGCACTGCACAAACCAAATAAGAAAATAGGACAACAGCGACATAAAGCTGTTACATTTAGGAAGGACAATTAAAAACTCACAAATATAAAATTTGTCTAAACAAATAAATTATAACTTCTTCTCACTGTGATGGTATAAAAGAAATATAAATACACCATAACCCAGTGTGAGAAAATAGAAAAGACAAATTTGAATTTTTACAGGTCATTCCATTAGATATCTTATAACAATGCTCAGTATTCTGAAAGCTGGATGCACCATATCACTGTTAACACCAACATACTATTACCAAAACAATTCCAGATTACCAGATTCTTTCTTCAGAAGGAACAGGTAGCAACATTTATACTTTCTTCACTTCATGTTGCTTAATTTATTTTATCATGATGTCATTTAATGGAAATTATTTACAAGCATATAAGTTGGCCTAAAACAATCATAATCATAAAAATGTTCATTTTCCTCAGATATGTATCTGTGTACTGACTCTAGATATTCATGACAAGTGACAATGATAGAACAGAACTAATAACATGCAAGTAATTTCAATGCATAAAATTCTGCATTCTTGAAAACTGGTGGACAATCCTATCCACAGTAAATGCAATTACAGAAGTATGCCCTCTTTGACATTACAGATTCTTAAAACTTGTCAACAATTCCACTTTTTTTGCAAGTGTGCCATGAAAAGGGTGTTAACAAGTTATTCTCGGTGAGTGCCCTCACTGTCACACTTAATTGTAGCACCTGCTTTATACATTATTTTACACAGAATTTGCAAAAATCTATCATGAAAATTGAGGACAGTTTGATAACGGTCAAAGTCTTCATCTATACCTTCCTTCATGACAAAGTAACTGATCAAGTTCCACAAAATTTTACGCAGCTCGACAAGTCGCTCAACTTGACTGGAAGAAGAATAAAAAACAGCATTATTACCTTAAACCAATAATGGAAGAAGGACTTTGGCAAACATCACACGAACATGTTACATGAACTGGCACCCCTGAAGAAGCCTCTCAGAAACTGTCAATAACTGACAAAGTTCAGTAATCATAAATCCTATTTATGAAACTAATAAACAGAACAGAAACATAACTAATTTATTCTTGTAATTTTTTAAAATATGAATATCAAAAAATGCTGTAGATCTTAATTAGATGTATATTATATATAATTTAGAGACTTCTATATGACAAGCCATGTTTATGAAAACTAACAGTTCAATTTGAGTTTCACATGAAGTATGTTATATTGGTCCAATACAGACCAAAATAAAATTCACTTTGCACCTTGTGCAAATATGCCTAAAAATCAGCAATAAGTAACAGGTTTAAATCATTTCCAGGCACAGCATGCACACATTTGCTCGTTTTCATGTGCCTTATGCTATTCATAGAATATATACTTTTGAGAATATACTCTGTGAATTTTGCAGTAACAAATTAAATTTGTTACTTGCTACTTGTTCAGGTCTGCACATTTGTCCCACTGCAACATATACTGACAGCCTCATTTAGTGAGGAATATCTAATAACAAAATACTTAATTGTTCAGAATGCTAACTCCTGAACATACGGATGTGTACGACATGCAGTGCAGTCACAGAAAGGAATTAATGATTCAGCTGATGGCAACATACTGTTATTTCTCTGAGGATGAAAAGGCACAATGATCAATTACTTTTTATGGCACTACATTATAAGATTCATGGAAACAAATAATTACAGATTCAAATTACCTGTTTTCACATAACATTGTGATATCCCGCCTCCGATTAATCTTCAGAAGCATATGGTTTTTCCACTTCCCTTCACTTGTTGGAGGAGGCCTGTACTGATATGTAAGAAAAGAATATATGTTTCACTCATGGCTCAAGACAAAGTTAATCCTGTGCTTAAGAACCACTCCACAAAGATGCACAGGGGAATGGAGATAAAAGTTTCACAACTCTTAACCTCAACACCAGATGGAGATGAGTGTATGGCTGGCAGCTTTAACACTGGGGAAAGAGCTTCAGGTACCCAACATACTAGTAAAAATAAGTGATCCATCTACTTAGTCATCCATCTCAAAATCACTATTTAATCACTCATAAATCACAAGCATTATCCTTTTCATGGTCATACTACAATAATCTGCACCTGGAATAATGTATGGACATATGCCAATGAAGATAAGAAAATCTCCCTCTTCTCCTTTGTAATATAGAGAAAAATGTAAAATGCAATCATATGCCATCTTCTGGATACAGTTTGCATTGCAAAGTTTTTTATTTTTTTCAATAAATTACACCAAGTTCTGTAGCTGTAGGATGCAATTTGCAGCTTGCATTTCTACCTCATCACATCATAAGTGTTCTTTCATGTTTCAAGAACAAATGAAACGCACAAGTCAGTAATGTTATAACTCTGTAGGATTTGAGATTTTCACAGCAGTAAGTCTGTTGATGGCTGTCTTTTAGATTGCCGCGCCATGAAGTCTGGTAGAAGTTTACTGACATTTCAGATGTCCTTGCTGCCTCTATCAGGCAACAACGACCTCTGAAACATCGGCAAACTTCTACCAGGCTATATGACACAACAATCCAAAAGAAAACCATCTTCAGTGTTATAATTGCTCTATTAATTTTTAAGCAAATCGAAGTAAACACCTTACTTGAAATTGTAGGTTTTCTGTGAATACAGAGTCCTGCAAAAACCAGGCTTGGCAATGGTGGTGTAATTGATCATGATTCTAAAAGGTTTAAAAAGCAGAATTGAAATGTTATAAATGACAGTCATATTAACTTATACCTGACCACACGAGGTTATAATTTCATTGATACTACTTACCTCATGCACACTGATTTTTCCAGTACTGAAGAGCAGAACTGACAAGGGAGAGAGGAGACTTGTTTCCCGCACCACTATTGTACGTCTCTCCACTGATTGTACTTGACGGAAGTATGTGAGAAATGGAGTTGAATAATGTGTTCGCTTGTAGTTCACACTTTCAGGAGTGATGGTTGTACGCTTACCTGATCTATCAATATAATATTAAAAACATTACATATTAAAATTGTAATCTGTAATGCTTCTAAAAAATGTCGACATATAAGACATAATGTTTCCGTGTTTCAGAAACTGGTTAAGTTGAGCAGAGAAATTTCTCACAAAAAAGGGGGGGGCAATACTTCTTGGTTTATTTAATGAGGTTTTATCGAACTATACAGATTATATGATGCCAATTATTATGCACAATTAAATTTTTTCAGGAGAGACAACTCTAAAGTATGTACAATATGAATTTCAATTCTGATTTATGGAATACATCTGGGTGTCTGTGTATAAGTATAATGCTAGATCCAACGTTATAGGGAAGTCTCTAAGTTTATGCAAGTGAATTAGACTATAAACCTTACTCTGTTAGTACAACATTTGTGTTCTTTTTGAGGCGTCCCTTCTTCACATCCCAGCTCTGTCTGTATAGTAATGTGCCCATACCAGATAAAAAGACTGCTTTCACTAGTTCATCATTGTTTGCATATCTGTTGCAAGCAGCAGTTAGATCCTTATAGTTTTCTGAATCATCCAGCATCTTGGACTGCCATAAGTGTTCTGAGAATAGTTTGCGCAACTCTGTAATGATGAAATGAGAATAGTATGAATGTTTAAATAAAATTGACAAGATTAAAAAAATTAAGTCTCAAACAGAAGAGCTGTTATAAGTTCATAGATGACACAGACAATCCTGGAGTATAAAAACATGACAGTAACACATCTTGTCTTCATGAAAGTAGGGCAAGACAGAATCTTCTGGTGTTTCAGCCTCATGAATTCACAAAGTCCGGATTATGATGTTTTTTGGTTACTAGAAAGATTGTACTGGAAACACAGTGAAACCTGTTTAAAGCAAAATAAAAATAAAATGTAAACCTATAAAATTTCAGGTCCTCAAGAATTTGGATTAGAAACTAATGCAAAATTACTTCTAATAAACAGAAACTACTTAAATAAGATAGGGATTAGCTCTATCTATTGGGCCCAACAGAGTAGGTACCTGAAGACGGAGATAGAGCCCCATCTCTGAAACGTTGTTTCAATTTTATTCTGTATTTTATTATTTTAAACGACGGAAAATATCCAAAGAACTTTTTAATTAAATAACTCACCATCGTCACGAACTTTCAGAGAGAAACTACTTAACGTGGATGTTATACTTGAATATTTATTTCCTGTTCACACAATTTTATTCTATACTATGCTTCTGAAAATTTAGCCAAGTACAATTTCTGCCACAAATTGGAAAGAATATATCTTGACCAATGACAACGTATGCGTAGAATACTTTAACAGACAACTGAAAAAACTGAAATTTTGTACTGCTTATTAACAGTGTACCACACCGTGACTTGTGATTTGGATCATAAATACATAGTGTATGTATTGTGTTTCGTCTAGAACTAAGTACCTGTGCTAATCAGAAACCTGTTTGAAATGGAAAAAATGTACATGGCCTTTAGAATTCTGCTACAAGCAGCTCTTATTATAATAAACACATAATGCATTTTAATACTTACTAGAGATTAGTTTCATGTTGTCATTATTCAGGCCCTTGCTTTGGCTGAAACTGAGTGCATCTGCTGTGCTTTCTTTAAGAAATGTCTCCCACTCCTGATAGAGCCATGCTAGGGACAGATGGTCACTAGATGGATGGAAAGTCTTCTTGACTGATCGTATAGTATCCTTAAAGCTTAGTCCTCCTTGAAACATTTCTGAATCACTAGTCAATACTGTGGCAATAGTTACCATTGGACTTACACACCTAAAAAGATAGTAATAATAAATTAATAAAATAACTAAGTAAAACTAATGAAATTGTCATAGACAAAGGAAAATGTCCAAGATAAGATGACTGCACCATACTAACAAGATAAAGTACATAAAACACTATCCTTAATCTGCTATATACAATTTTAATTCTTAAGCAATATTGTTTATGCCTTAAATACAAACTTATGGCATCATTATGTCCATATGCTTGTGATCTCTTAATAACTTCCGAACCAACTTAATGAAACTTGGTACAAAGATGATGCCACTGGAGGCCACACCACTGCTATACCTTTTATTTTCCTACCATCACTAAAAATATAGCCACCATGCAAAACTTTGAGGTAGGAGTGATGCCACTTAAAATTTTGCTTTCTAATAAATAAGTCTTTAAAATATGCACATTCTTAAAGATAAATTTTGTAGAATATAAAATAGTAATAAACTACTTTTAGTTTCTGGTTTTAAGGTGATAACTAATGTAACCACTGGAGCTAGGCATGTTAGTATGCAGACCAAGAACATATCTAAAATTTCCATGTGGAACATTTCTTTAGCAATTACAGACATAGTTCTTAAACCTTGGCACTTAGACTGAAGCATTTGAAGAAAATGTCTGTAAGAGTAATCTTTTTTCCAAATGTAATACTGTAAAGCATTTGAAAACCAACAAGAGAATTTTTACTTTTTGGTAAACCCATGGGGAATTGCCTGATCTATAGCATTTATGAAAAGTGAGTTCAGGCTGGCGACAGCATCATCAACAGCGGTGATACTGTACATAAAAGACCAGTCATCACTCGAGAGAATGTTATCCTACAAGGTATAACCCACATATGCATATTTGCAGTAAGAATACTCACACTTACGTGTACTAGTTTCAAAGGGTAAAAAGAAACCAATAACAAAAGGCAGGTGATAAGCATCAGGCTTTACAATATCAGTGCCAATAAAGTTAATATATAACTCACTGAAGTTCATAAATACAAAGTCTAGGAGACAACTGCTGCCAAGAGTATCTATTTGTTGCCTGAGGTTGAGAAGTAACATGGAGGTATAGATGGCATCCTCCTTGAGTTCAGAATAATAATGGAAATTAGCCTGAGAAAGACCATGACAACTGTACCATTTAATCAGGATTTTAAATATAAATACCTGAATATTGCTGCATGTACCAGGGCTTTGGATAGTTTTGGGTGTGTTGTGAACATTGCAATACGTCTACCCAAGGGAGTCAACATTTCATTCTCATCCAAGGCGCCCAGATGAATCAGCTCATAAACTGCTTGAACAACTGCCTCAGGAGGAGGTGGTTCTGGCATCTGAGACAGGAATTCTGCAGCTTTCTCATCTTGACTATATGTCTGTTAAAATATAAATAAAAAAAATATACATATATATACATATATATATATATATATATTTACTGAAGCCAGTCCAATAACTACTGATCATTTACACAAACTCTTAGTTTAATATCTGCATGTGCTACTTGGATAAAGTGCATAAAACAAACATAATAATTACATAGTTTTAGTGTGTCTGTCTATTCACCAGATTTAATGTCCAGAATTAATGAATGTATTTAATCAAATCTGGTAGAGGGAAGACCAACACTAAAGTTATTGGGAGAATTCCATTTTGGAGCATACCTAAACATTGTAATAACCACCTTGTAAGAAGCCCAAACGAACTTCACTAGATTTCTAAAAAAATTACTGTGTAAAAACAACAGAATAGGACACACAACACAGATATTGTTAACATCTACAACTTTTAACCGAAAACAATTTTCATGTAGCAAATATTTAATGGGCAGTAAGGAAAACTAATATCTTATCATATGCAGTGTGATTAGCTATGCAAGAACACATTTCTATCTGCAATAAGATGTCAAAACCAACGAAAAACTTTACCTTTTAACTGTTATTGTATGTTCAACAATATGACTGAACATTGTGACTGAGTGGTTAGAAATGCTTCATACTGGGAAGCCTTATATTCAAATCTCCACCCACAGGTCAGCTATCATGAATGAGGATTTCTGAGTACATCTAGGAAAATGCTTTACTACCTTAAATTAGACGACTGCTTCTTTCCATATCCTTTCCAATACATTATTCACTAATCATCCTATCATTCAGTGCTAAGCAATAAACAGTATTATTAATCATGAATTAATAAATGAATAGAAATACGATAATAAAAGCTAATTTGAGGAAGTAATTCAATCTCTCTCATCTATTCTCCTTTATTAAAGAGAGAGGTTTATATATTGTTGCAAGAGCCTACTACAACAGCCTGGTTGGCTGTGCGACCTTGTAATCGTACCTTGCAATCAAGAACAGTCTTCTCAAGCGGAATGCGAAGCAACTCAGGAATTGGATACTTCATTAAACTGTCATATGTTTCCCGTGTGTACATGTGGTAGCATTCACCAGGTTGAACCCTGCCAGCTCGTCCTCGTCGCTGATTAACATTTGCTTGTGATACCCAGTGATTGTCCAGTACTCCCACACCTAGCTGGACATTAAGCCTGTATGTTGACAACAGAAATTCTTAATACATACAAATTACTTCAGAAGTTAACTAAATGTATATCACATCTTTATATTTTATACAAAATCTACTGAAAAATTAGATTTACATTTAATTAATTTCACTGTCATCATCATTTAAAGGAATTACATGACAGGTAATGAAGTTGGACTTACAGGTTTTGACACAATTTGGGCTTATATGTAGCTGAAGATTTCTGTCTTCTGGGTTGTTGCGCTGTGTAGTCTGGTCGATGTTAACTAATGTTTCAGAGGTCATACTGCCTCCGTCATCTCCCTGATGACGGGGGCAGTATGACCTCTAAAACGTTGGTTAACATCAACCAGATTACACAGCGCAACAACCCAGAAGACAGAAATCTTCATACTCACTACTGTGAAAACCTCAAATCTTACTTATATGTAGCTGCCAACATTTCAGAGGAACATGTCTCCATCTTCAGGGCTTGTATTTACCTACAAGTCCACATGGTACCACAACCCAGAAGACCTACATCATCTTCACTGTTGTAAGAACCTCAGATCTCATGATAAGTAAGCTGTTACAATCAGCGTGATATGTGCATGTGTATCTGCCACCTTATCAAGATGGACTCTGAGGCCTACACAGCTTTCAAATGTAAGTACCATTAGCAACAATATTCGTTATGGTCATTATGGGCTCTGATTTTAGTAGGTGACTGTTCAAGATCGCTATACACCACATAATATTAATGTTTTTTAATCAATAGAGACTTCAAAATTATTTTTAATAAAGTTCTACATCACTCAGTCACCACAAACTCACACACATCGTGACTTTGTATTCAATATAATCGAAACTAACTTGTGTATCTGAAGGCCATCTCCTCCACCTACAATTGTAGGGTATGCCATGCAATGGTGGTAAAGACCAACTTAAGAACAAGTTTTGTTTTCAAACACTTGCCAGTTCTTTCTTCAATATAGACCATATTTCATAACTGAATAGGACAATTAACTGCATTTAGCATAGCCATTCTTGAGAAGCTAACAGTCACTTAGCTAGTGAAGACAATCAATAATTTTTTATGAAAACTGAAGGTTCATTACCATGTTCATGCCACATGTCTCACCAACTTACTCTCCTTGATTTAATCAGCCTGATAATATATGGTGAAAAGTAAAAATTATTAATCTATTATGAAATTTTCTTCCTTGATTATTTCCTTTCCCTTAAATACTCTTGTTACAGTTTGTAGTCAAGTTATCCGTACCATGTAAAACAATGGTATAACCAATTGGTAGCATGTGAATCATCAAAGAGAACTAGTGTAAATGGATGGGAGAAGACCGAAATGAAGTTTCTGTATTGTGAGGGAGACTTTCATTGTATTGATATAGCAAATATGAGAAATCAGAAAGAGAACAGAATAGATAACAACTAGCACTTCCAGCTTCTATTAGACATAAGTGAAACCAGTTACAGTACTTCAAGGTTCAAGCACTAGCCTGTTACCATTCCATGTCAGTAACAGGTATAAATTAAGAGACACGTCCTCAATTCTGATGAAGGGAAATGCATACATACCTGACTCATACTCTTTCTGGAAGTCTATACATAGTTGAGATGCTGTCCCATTTTTTTCCCAATTACAAATGATAAAATTACAGTTAATGTTAACCCTTGTTTTTGTGTCAACGTACCGGCTCGTCCGGCATTTAAATCGAAAGCTGAGTGTTCGCCGTACATTCTCGTCCGGCTGTAAGCCTAATTTCAAAAGCCCATAATTATGGAAAGAATATCGAATTCTTAATGAGGTTTGCAGTGTTCTCTCGTGAAAAAATTGTTCTTTCTATCCATGTAGTGGCAACGTCGCATTTCTTTGATCTGAGCTGGCAAGTGTAAGTATGAATGCGTGACCTCATGGTTTCGAAATCTTCCATTCAACACTTTGGTGTTTGTTTGTGAAGGCACGATATGCTTCGAAGGAGTGTCAGAAAAGTTTCAAATGGCAGCCATATCTCCTTGAACGAAAGAGAGGGGAACAGAGTCGAATGTGAGAGGAAAAAAAAATCTGAAATGATTGCAGATAATAATTGCACAATATAAACAGTACATATGCAGTGATCATGTATCGGTGTGTCCCAAATAACAAAATTTTAGCACCCCTATACTCTGAAGTGTATCAGCAAAGGCATTAGTAAAAAAAAGACTGTTTATGTGTGATGCATGCAGCTGACCTTCAGGCAGGCAGCTGACTTCTACTGCCCATAACTATGGAACGAATAATGCCAGCGCGATGACCTTGGTCTCTAACTGACGATGTTTCAACCCTGTTGCATCCCCTGGAGCAAGTGCCTGGGAGTCTAAATGTAAATGCGTGACATCTCAGTCACAATGGACCGCCCGTTGACCAGTCGTGTTTTGACAGACGCGGAGCAAATCCTGGTGCTAGATGAAGTTTTAGAAGATGAAACTTCAAGTGAATTTTCTTCTGAGGCTGAAAGTGTAGTAGACATTGACTACACTCAGTTGGTAACAACTGAACATAACAATTCAGATAGTGACAGTGACAGTGGTAGTGCCCAGAGGGCTGAAGTGGATGTTGTGTCCAGCAAGTTTGTGTGGAGTGACATACACTCATTTACTGCTTCAAGAGAAGCATTTTTCAATACATCTGGTCCCCAGTTCGACACTGCTGGACTAGATATCGTGAGTTCATTCGAAAAACATTTTCAATATAGCTCTAGTACAGCTCATTGTAGATGAAACCAACAAGTATGCTCAGCAAGAAATTTCTAAAATTGCCCATCCCCTCACATTTTGCTCTAGGATTAGGAAGTGGCAAGATGTCACAGTAGATGAAATTTCCATTGCTCACACACAGGGTGCTCATGTTATAAGGTAAGATTATAAAACCATCTTTTAAGAGGATTTCAGTGAAATTTCATTATTGTGTCTCATATAGTTTAAAAGTTATGATAAAAAAAGTGTTTTAGAGCAAAATTTAAATGGACATCGAAACACAATTACCGCTATACAAGCTCAACTGCGGTATTTAAATCTCCAGGGTCACGGGTTAATGCATATATTAAATGTAATTCGAATACTAATGGCCTTACCTTTGCTCCTTGTGTGCTCCTGTGTCTATCACATATATCACATCATTGATGGTAATACTAGTTTCAGCAATGTTTGTAGCCAGAATTATTTTGCGCACTCCTGGCATAGGAGTGTAGAAGATGCGACGCTGTTCTTCATGAGTTAGTCGTGAATGCACTGGCAAAATAAGATGTGAACCATCATTGCCTAGATGTTTTGTTACTGTTACAATTTCTGCCCACCCAGGCAGAAAACACAATATTGCTCCATCAGGTCGGTTTCTATCCACCCAGCGAATTAAAGTAGCTACCTGATGACAGTCAACAGCAGGAAGATTTGACATATCAGAATTCACATTCACACCTGGAATGCTGAGATCTTCCATAAAGAATGATTGCACAGGATGTGCAAACCCCGGAACATGAAGCATAGGTGCATTATCAAAATACTTCTGGAACAACTCGGCATTAATGGTGGCACTCATGACAATCACATGTAATTTAGGGTTCAGAGCTAATGCTCTGCGCAGGAGAACAAGGAGGACATCTGTGTTCACATCACGTTCATGAGCTTCATCCAATATGACATGACTAGCACCAATTAATCCTGGGTTGCTCTGGAGCCGACGTAGAAGGATGCCAGTTGAGCAGTACAGTACAGCACCACCAGGAGGCTGGGGTAGTGCAGCCTTTAATCGAACTTGGTAGCCAACAACATCACCCACCTACACATTAAAACAATACAATGAATGGAAAGTTGTACTCCAAAGAAACACACTATTTGCAAATGTACTTTGCTATTATTCATACTTAACTGGCCTTGATGTTCCATCCCACAAAATCTTAAAATCAGACAGAAATACCTGAAGTGCCCCTCCTTATATCACCACCCCTTTCATAAAATCCATACTTCTGTATCCTTACTACGTATATACCCAAAGAAATTAAATTTGATTTCTTTCTCCACTTAAAATTCCCATAAGCTTACAAGGTTGTAATTTTTTATTGGGTAAAATCTAACCCCTTTGAGGAGTTACATTTTATAACAAGAAACTATTTCACATTGTGAAACTACAGAACATGTGACAGTTCATTGCTCTTTACAGACAGGTATTAAAACACCTTGCTGTTATTCTCATTCACACACTTCAGTCAAAACACCTTGTCTAAATAATACCCCACTTCCACCAAAGTATCTCTCCATGAACATAGTGTAGCATTTCTCTTTGATTGTATAGCTCACAGGATCATAATATGTAAAGCTCAGCCATGAAGATAGAAAAAGTATGTTCCTCCAAAATGTTGGTATCTACCTACAAGCCTACATGGTGTTACAACTGAGAAAACCAGTGAGATCTTCACTGCTGTGAGAACCTCAAACTTGTCAAGACTGCCAATCTGTAGGGCAAGATTCAAATGTGGAACCTCCTATACATGGAACAGGAGTGCCAATATGCAATCTGGGAACTTCACAGAGATGAGAGATCACAATGTGGTCTTCTGGGTTGTGACACAATGTAGTCTTGTAAGTAGTTACCAACGTTCTGGAGGAACATCCTACCTCTGTCTTCAGGGTAAAAGGTTGTATTACTTCAACTGTAATACAAATTAGCACAAATTCTTAGACATATCACTTACCCTCTCCTTCCTTTCATGTGCTACCCACTCTGCTAATGATATGGCACTTAAACGACGTGGCTGAGTGACTATTATGTTACAATGTGCACCTTGTTGTGATGACTCCCAGTGCTCCATTATATACTGTGGTACTTGAGTGCTTTTTCCACAGCCTGGTTCACCCTTCACCACTATCACAGGATTCTCTTCAACCATCTGCAGTAACAGATCCCTACATAAAAAATAAATATGACCGCAGAAAACATTAAGGATGTTGCATTTCTCTAGGAAGAGATTTAGAAAAGGCTCCTGAGACTATGCAAACATTTCTGTGGGCCAAATGCTTTGAATGTAAAATGTGTAGAAGTAATAATAATGATAATAACAACAATAATACATTTGATCAAAGGCATCAATGTCACAGTCATCTATTAGAAATCCTACTTCATACATGGGAGGACCAGGATTCAGATCCTGGCCCAAAGACCAGCTTTCTTGACTGAGGCTTTTCACTGTAAGTACAAAGATCTTCTGGGTTGTAGGGTGATGATGGAGGCAGGAAGGGCCTCTAAAATGTTGGTAATTACCCACCAGACTACATAGCATTATAACCAGGAAGACAGCCACCTTCATACAAACTCAAAGTTCTGCACCATCATCATATTTACAGTTACTGATATGTAAGAAAATAATACAGCATCAGAATTTATGGGTATGTTTATTATCTGCCTCCATACAAAATTTCATGTACCTAACACCAATGGTTCATTACATATCACCATGAAATTAAAAGTTAAATATAAATTTCATATATCATGTTGTTTAACTTTCTACAAATACACACACACACATGTTAACAGAAATTTCATTCTCTTTTATATAACAGAACAAAAAGTTTCAGGATCCTGCTATTATGTGGTGCTCCCACTTCACCACAAGCCTGAGCAGCCACCATGTTAGTATGACTAAATGTAGGAAATTAAAAGAAAATAAAGATGGGCAAACTTATAGTTGTAAATTGCTCCATGGTAATTCATCAACTGGTTCAAATATTACATGAGAGGTCATACACACATACATGATGGTATTATAATCTTACCCTTTCACCTCTGAAACAAGCAAAGTATGCTAAAAATATTAAATCATGAGTGCTTCTCACCTAAATTCTGCAATGGGTAGGCTTTCTCTATTTTTCTTCATTTCACCTTCAAATCGTTGGAATATACTGCTACCATTTTCTAAAGAATGAATTCGTTTTCTGTAACGATTGTACAGCTGTATATTACGCTGAGTAATTTCTTTTAGACCATAATCATTTCTAGGAAGACCAGTTACTGGATTAGTAGCTTCTACACTACCAAACAATTCTGGAAGAGAAGTACAAAATAAAACTAACAAATGAAAATGTTGAAGTGGCTTATGATTTATTGATAAATAACTGTCCCTAAACATAATGCCATTTGTTAACTATCTTACAGTTCCATGGGCCCAGTTGCAATCAGCTCTTTCTAAATTCCTGTTATGTAACTAGATAGTTGGATTTCAGCAAGTTACCTACTTACGCTATTCAAGGCCTTATGATACAGTGTACTACACAATACATACAAGTACACAGGTCACCACACATTTGGAAGAAAATAGTAAATCACTATTAATTATTATCATTAACATAGTATTTTCATGAAACTGGAGCAACAATTAACTGTAGGCCTGGTATAACACACTCTTGTAGCATCTCCAAATAAGACTCACTTGAAGTTCCTTCACGAAAGTAGGGGCGTAAGACATCAAATGAGTCTATACTCTCAACACAAATACCCCAGGATGAAACAAGCCAGTTTCATTGTTTATATAAGACTCAATCACATCTCAACAGACACAGGTGTGTGTATTAAAGCAACTGAATAACTTCAAATTTGCTCCATATCATATTATTTTCATCACATTATCAGCAGATAATGACTATCAGTGTTCTGCATCATGTTCAAGAATTCCATGAACCAAACTTGGTACAAAATATTTAACTCCAAATCAATGGAGCACCTATCATACCAATCTTTAACTGAAGCCCATTTCTACTGCTGCCTTCGAAATTGACTCCCACAGGCTTGCAAAAAATCTGCCCAAGTGTAAAACATTATGTAACATGTTACTTTTTATGGAGACAGGTTGATACACTTCTGCCCAAACACCAAGTTAGAGGATCATCCTATGTCTGCTGCCTGCTGTGTGTCACTAATTATTAAATTTAATCATAGTCAATCTGTGTATCTGGAGGCTACCTCCTGCAGCTAAAACCTGAGAACATGCCAAGTCTAGGTAACATTAACAATGAAGACTTTCAAATGTTCAATTTAAAATACCTTTCAACTCTAAATGTTATTGGTGATGGTGTTGAATTACCAATTTCAAATTTTTTGACTCTTTCAATCATCATTGTGCCCACAGATAAAAATTAGTTCCATCTAATGAGCCAAACTGTGTAAGTTCACCTGAGGACAGGGGTAGAGCCATCTCCTGAAACATAGTGGTCTGAGGAAGCACAATGGTGATTGAAAAAGTCCACAAATTTGAAATTGGTAATTAAAATACCTGCATGTACTTAACATAAAGAAATAATTCCTGTGTAGTTACAAATACAAAGATAAAATGTAAGCATCCTAGAATATATAAAAGCCCATTTCAGATATACACCATGTTTCAAAAGTAGCTTTTCAACTTTGCAGGAGAATATAAATTTATTTAAAGGACGTGCACAATATTTTTAAATGCACAAATTTAGCCAAACACATCAAGTTTCATGCACAAGAAAGCTGGTAGGCCACATGTTTCTGAAGACGCCGTGGAACAGATTAGGGAGAGCTTCACTCGAAGTCCACGCAAGTCAACGAGACGTGCATCTTGGGAAAGTGGGATTCTACATGTGACTGTGTGGCAAGTGTTATGAAGACGTTTGCACTTAAGAGCGTACAGATTATCTATGGTGCAAGCCATTTCAGATCGTGATAAACTGGCTCGTAAGGAATTTTGTACGGAAATGTTGCGGCGAGTTGAAGACGACGAAGGATTTCTGGACTCAGTAATTTTCAGTAACGAAAGCACATTCCATGTCACTGGTAAGGTCAACACCCACAACTGCAGGATTTGGGGTAGTGAAAATCCACGTGCCTTCCTGGAACATGTTCGTGACAGTCCAAAAGTTAATGTGTTTTGCGCCCTCAGCAAAGATAAAGTATACAGCCCCTTTTTCATGGAGAAGACCATTACTGGCATTGTGTATCTGGACACGCTCCAACAGTTCCTCATTCCTCAACTTGACGAAGATGACCAGGAAGGATGCATTCACTTCCAGCAAGACGGTGCACCCCCTCATTACCTAGGAGAAGTGTGCGAGTACCACAACAACTGTTTCCCAGGTCGGTGGATTGGTCAGGCCGTACCAATAGCATGGCCACCTTGTTCCCCGGATCTAACACCTTTAGATTTTTTCTTGTGGGGATTTGTTAAAGATCGAGTGTAGGTGCCATCCTTACCTCCAAATGTGGCCAAACTCCGAACTCGAATTACCGCCGCAGTTGCTGAAGTGACACCGGAGAAGCTACACAGCGTGTGGAAAGATATTGACTACAGATGGGACGTCTGCCGCATAACAAATGGAAGTCACATTGAACCATAAAAATCTAATGGGCATAAAACTTGAAGTGTTTGACTACATTTCTATGTTCTGAAATTATATGTTTCTCCTATCAGTTCTCCAATATCTCACCCTCAAGTTGTAAAGCTACTTTAGAAACACGCTGTATAAACAAGAACAGTCCACAGGCACACACACACATACATACACAGCAAAGATTTTGTATTAGAACTACCATCTATATACAATGAGAATGTCTGTACACAAATATACTTGACACGGTTTCAAAAGCAACAAGATAACTGCAGTAATAATGGCACAACTTACCCTCTGCACTTCCTTCACTGATGTCATTAGTGTTCATTATTTTATTTTGATTCTCAGATGTTTCCAATTCATTAAGCACAGGCTTAATATCCTTCAATGGAACAAACAGTGAAACATTCAGTATTTTAGTATTTATTTAATACAAACTATGATAAAAAATTAGCAAATTCTTGCCATTATTTATTTCAGAAATAAAGAACTTCTGGACACCCACATTTTTGATCACTAGCCTGAATGTATATTAAAAGGATAATAAATTATACTGATACAAAAAAATATTGTTTTTCCATTTGGTTATTTTACAATAGCAACTGATGAAGTTACATAACACTAACTAAATTAAGGTACAATAACACTTTAATTGTCAATGGAGGGGAATATTAAAGAAAGGAGTTATGGACTACTTTAAGGTACTATCCATTGAGGGACTACGGAAAAACACAAAACAAAATTTTTAGCCACATAAACATCGCAGATCTGAATTCCACTTAGTGAATGGAGGTTTTTGACTGTTTTTCTGTTGTTATCTGTAGACAGGGACCTTGAAAGGGTATAATTCTCCATCCAAGACTTGTATTAAGACAAACATGTGCAACTTTTGGCCAATGTATGAAGTTTTTTTTAACAAAAAACTTGTAATGGTTTTCTTTGAAATATATTTTTGTCATATAACACTTTTAATTTTAAATTAAACTAAAGATTCATCACAGCTTTAACAAATGTCCCTACCCCAAGCCAGCATAATCCAATTCAAATCACAATAACCAGTTTCCCTATGACAGTCTTGTTATAAAACATGAAATAATACAAACCTTTTTGTATGAGTCAATAAGCATGTCAATATCTTGAAAGGAACTGACATCAACAGTCACTTCTACAGGTACTCTCGTCATCTCTTTAATCTCACTTTTATCATACAATAGTGGGGCTCCAGCCCGAGTGAGTTTGCCTTGAGCATGTAACCAATGCAAAGCTTTCAATGCTGCTTGCTTTCCAGCAGCAGCTTTGGATGGCATTGTTGCAGAAAAGTTGGCCTCACTAGGCCACTTTACTTTGTATATACAATTCCACATTTTGTTGGTAACCTTCCCAGTGCGAACAGATACCATCCGGTAACTCTTTTCAAGACAGTAACTAGAACTCTTCAGTTCATTGGCTACTACTGCATACAGGTTATGAAGAGTTCCTTTTGGTTGAGGGAACCTGCTCTCAACTATCTCCAAATCTACAAAGAGAATATTTATATTAATCATCTGTGCTTGTTCATTGTTGTTTTATAGTAAAAATAATGTCATATTTTTTTAAATTATATTACATATTTAATGAGTCTAGGTGAATGCACAGGGTTATTAAAAATAAAGTCTACAGCTTAAAAATTGTATTTTAAAACAAACTAATTGACCCATAACTGTTACCTGTATATTAGTACCAAATGAAACATAACAGATAATAATTGTTTCCTCAGTTGGTGATTTAATTGAACAACACATGAGATGCTTATAATGGTACACAGCAGTTCATAGAAGAAGACTTGGCCATCAGAACCCTACTCCATGGATGCCTATATTTTCAGTTCAAAATAATATGGAATGTTTATGGGGTTATGATAAAAATCTTGGCTATGTCCTACTCTTATCACTCTCAAAGATGACCTGAATCATTACATTTCAAAAGTAATGTCATTAGCTAAAAAGGAAACAGTCCAAAAAGTTTGAAATGATTTCTTACATCACTTGATGTTTTCAGAATTACCAATCGAGGTCATACCAAGTTCTTATAAAGGTACAAATAATGTGAGATATAGTTTCCATTCATAGCAATATAACTTTGCAGGAATATTAATTTATTCTTTTACAATTACTAGCAGAGCCTGTGTCTTTGTAACAGGCAATATACACATAAGATATGTAATATTTTTGAATTCATGCTTAAAACATTAATACCCATCATCTTACTTTTCTTCTTCTTACGCCCTTTTCTCCCCTATGTGGAATATAGGGGCCTCCTTTTGGAGGTTTCTGATCTATTTTTAGACATTTTGTAGGGAATCCTTGGATTATTGATCAGGCCATCAAGACCTCTACCAGAGACATGGGTGGGAAATAGCTGCTGACTTCTGCTTATGAAACATTTCATTCATACTCGTAAGATTCTTTTACATGCCATAAATCTACGACATGGGGCCACCAGTTTTACTTTCCCTCTAAAGGAAGTCATGTTATGTATTTTTATCAATCATCTTACTTTGACTTCCAACAATTCTCAATGATACTATTAATTCAAGTACACACAACAAAGAATATAAAACAATTAATATGGATATGTTTTACATGAAATACAAAAATTAAAAACTAAAACAAAATTGAATTAACTGGAACAATAATTTCTAAAAACACATTAGTTCTGTCTGTCTTTCCCTCTGATGCAACTTACTCATTGAAAAATGACACGCAGAAATGAAGAACAAGGATTAAAACTCACACACCTAACTTCATAAACAGATTAAATAGCTTGTTAATGTATAAATGACAATATAACAAAAGATTTGGGTTATTAAAATACAGAAGTAATGAGTGGAATATATGTATCTCAAACCTTGTACCTGTTACATGTTGGGACCTCTAGGACTCCACTGACAGGTAAGACAGAGAGTTAATACAGAGGAATAATGTCCCACTTAAACAATGCAGACCTCAATAACAGCTGTCACACAACAGTGATTCCCTTATTTAGTTGTCAGTTGTAAGATATTACTCGCACAGTACAATTTTGGTCAGTTCACTTTTGTAGTCACATTTTTTGCATTATCTATTCAGTTTGTGTGCTGACAAAAAGAAAAATCACCTTCAGTGTATAGATCTTTCAGGATAACAATATAAAAATGACATAAACATAAACACAAAAATACATATAAACTAATTTATTATATGAATAAAATAATTATGGCAGAGAACTTAAATTTTAAATTGTGGCTGAATGGGTATTTGATTGTTCTTATGTTATCTGTGCGCAGTCCTTTATGAAAATGCTGTTCAAAAATAAAGTGTATGCAAGTGATAGATACTGCAGAAATCAACATCTAAAATAACAAAAATGTGATCACTGAACAGAAAGGATTATGTTGGTCCAGTAATGAAGCAATGTTTCGTCACCAAACAAAGGTTCTTTCAAAATCAACTGCAATTTTAACATATTTGAACAAACAAGACATTTTAAAACATGGCTATTAATGTGGACATCATCCATCATCTTTGCTCTTTTCAAACACAATGTTTTAGAAACTGAAAGTTCCATCATCAGGTAAAAAGGCAAGAAAAGATTCTTATGCTTTTGGGCCCCTTAGAAAATAAATAAGGCCTATAATAATAGTTGTGTTTAATGCAACATACCATCACCAGAAACTTATAGCTCATGACACTTCATGTTAAGAAAGATGATCTGTTCACACAAATAAATTATCCACATGGTTCTTGAGTCAAATACTGTTTGTCAGTTTCATACAGTGGAACTATAACTTATGGCATTACATACAAGACACAGTCAATTAATATGCCTGAACTATAACTGATGACACATTAGACAGACTTGACATGCATACCTAATACATGTACATGTGAGAGTGTAACACAGTGCATACCTTCAGAAGTAATGTCTTCAGACTTCTCACCTTCAAGAAGATCATCTGTAGTTTTATTTTTTCCACCTTTTATATTTTCAGAAGATCCCTGCTGTTTCCTTGAATAATAAAAGCCTTTTGCAGTTTTCACTTTTAATTTCAAGTTGTTCTCTTCTTCATGTGATGTGCTGTCTGTCTCCTTTCCACTCAGCTTTGTAATCTTCTGAACATTATCCCCACTTCCAAACAAGTCTGTTGAGCTTAAGTTATGAATTGAACGAATTCCTTGTTTTAGATTTAATAAAATGTTCTGAATGTTTTTTGGTCTACAAAACATATCTTGATGCAACTTCATTACCAAACAATGTCTTCTATTGTTATAACTAACTTCTCTATCACTTAAAAATGAAATATTGTTGCAGTGTTTTGTAATTTCCATAGCTGGTTTACAGAACAAGCACTGTTTGACTGAGGAGACAACGAGTTCACTATTCATTGAGATTATATTTTTCTCCACTAGCCTCTCTACAAAACACTGAGCTGCCATACTCTGAGACTTCTTATTTCTCAGTGTCTTCCCAACAGACCTGTAACACAAAACAATGTGTGGAAAGTGGATTCCAATGAAAAAACACATTTTCTTCATTGCATTCCTCTATGATCTTGCTACACAACCTCAATTAACAGAAGCATTAAAATGAATGCAGAAATAAGGGATATGCATTTGTATATCTGAACATTTTCAGCACCCAAAGTTTCACAAGCAAGGAATATCTCAGAGGTAGGTAATCATTGGCCTACAGTCTATTCAGGATGTGTATGGAACAGACATCAACAACCACTGGCCAAGGAGTTTATAATACTGGCTTCTGACTGGTCAATAGCCAGGGAAGTACCTTTGAGCTGTTCGCACCATGCACATTACCTACCTTACCACTATAAGTTTAAGCCTATTTGAGCTCATACAGACTCAGATTAAAGAACAGTTATATGATTGTGAACTACTCATTTCACTTCCCTATCCTTGTTCTCTTCCTGTTTACTTCCACTCCACACATCTTGAACAGAGCATAGTATCTGCTTCCAGAGTATTGCTTCTAATGTTTAGGTTTGGATACCTGACAATGGGGAACCCATAATTCTTTCAAAAGATGAATTAAAGTATTCAGGATATTAGAGTGCTGGAATCTATGTTCATTTCTAGCCATAACATTATATTACACAAACTAAATGAGGGAAACTGACATTGGGAATCTGTGCTGAAAAACTTGAATATTCTGCACATGATATTAACTTACTTTATATGTTCAGGCCACTGTGAACAGAGAACAGCTTCCCAAAAATCAAGGATACTCATTCTGGAATTATAATTTAACATCATGTCTATGTGTGCTTTGTACAGAACCTGGTCAGAAATGTTGTTCAAGAATACATTGGACTGCTTCATCATAGATTCACCTGTATCTGAAACAAGAGTCTGGAATTAATTTAATAATTTCTACTTTCTTTTAGACACTTCCATCTTTATTTAGTGGGTAGAATGAATTATAAATTACTTCAATTCAATTCTTTCTTTAAGATACATTTTAATATTACCATCTAATCTGCATCTAGGTATTACAAAGTGGTGTCTTCCTTTCGACTTTTTAAGTTCCCATATGTCCCATGCATGCTACATGCCTTATGTGTCTCACTCTCCTTCTCTTAATCTCAACACTATATACTCTAAGCTACTTATAAAATATAGTTAAATAAACCATAAATTAATATAAATAAATCAACTTAATCAACCTTAATATCTGGTGACAAATGTTAGATATGAGAGTGACTGGCACAAGACCAAAGGGAAGACCTACAGTAGTAAGCAATGGATTGATTAATTAATAATTTGTATGGACATGTTGTAAGACAGCCACCATGACATAAAATACACTCTTCCCATACATGTGCACAATATTAGGCAAGAGTTTATCTAGCATTCCAAAGTGGGGATGAAATTTATAATCTATGCATATACAGTGTCCCAAAAAGTTGTATACACACACAAAACTGCAAAATGAGGAACTTCATAATTTGTATTATTCACCAAATATTTATTAGGATTATCAAATTGAGGATGATATGGGTGGGGTAAGCAGTGTGCTTGGAGGAGATGAGGGATGTGTTCAACATTTTGATTGGAAAGCCTAATGTGAAGAGACCACTCAAAAGATCATGTCATAGTTTGGAGGAAAACATTAAAAAAGATCTTCTCTAATGGAATTGGGTAGCAGTGTGTGAATTCATCTGGCTCAGGGCAGGGACCATGTTAGGCTCTAGAAAACAAAGTAATAAACATCTGGGTTCCATAAAAGACAAGAAATTTCTAGAGTTGCATAGCTACTATTAGCTTCTCAGTAACACTGCGCCATGGAGTTATTCTACTAAAATGTGTAATAAACTATACGGTTGGTAATTTTTGCTCTTATTCATGATCAGACATTTCTGAATGTCAGACAAGAATTTCTCTTGTACAATACCACAGAGCAGCAGTTTCATTCTTAACAATGCATGATGCAATACTTAGCTGGGAAGAAACAACAACCACTTACCATTCAACAGTTTTGTCGCTCACGCTTATTGTTGTTTAAACTCATTTAACCTTTTATTATTAACCGAAAAAATGTTCAGAACAATAACTTGATATTTATAAGGTCTGATTATTTTATTATATTATTATTTATTTAGTGTTCTGTCTGATGACAGGTCCATATGAACAGGATCCTTCCATCCTTTTCTCGGACTGGGACCTATTCATATATGTTCTTGGCAGATGATCCAGAAGTGGTTTGCCATTGCCTTCTTATGTGTGTGTATGGAGTAATTGTTGGGATGCCACGGAGAAACCGGGGAAAACCACAGGAGGAAAACGCCGTGTTGCCTAGACCACGGCCTTGCCCAACACAAATTATAAATTTGGGCACCTCCGGGAATCGAAACCGAGACCCCTGGATTACAAGGCCAGCGTTCTAACTGCTATCTAACACATGTAGAGTAGAGTAGAGTAGAGTTTATTTACATTCCATAGATCCTTCTTAGGACTCAACCAAAGGATGTAGAACATGTCATTTCATACAATATACATACACTTCACAACTTTCAACACAAGTACAAGAACGTATTTCACATATCAATGTACATAAATTCCAGATTCTGCAATACAAGTATGAAAAATAATTTTACAAATTAATATACATAAACCTCAGAATTTTAAATATAAATACAAAACTTGCTTTACATATACGTAGATTATGGATATAAAGCTTAAACATTTTCAGCAGAGATGAAATCATCTACAGAATAGAAGGAGTGAGTAAAGAGGTAATCTTTCAATGCAGGCTTGAATACCTTTATATCATAATTTAGACTTTTAATTGTTGGTGGAAGATTATTAAACAACTTGATACCTGTATAGTACACTCCTTTCTGATATTTAGTAAAGTTAGCATTTGGCACATATAGATCATGTTTACATGTACACATTGCTATTATTTAAATTAGTACAATGCAATATAACGCTTCAATGAATATAACAGCCTGAAGAATACACATCTCACTTTTGAAGAAATGCAATTTTGAACAATATAAAGTTAGGTTATGTGTGGCTAACCTTTCATTGAAGTCCCTTCTCTGGCTGACATATATATTCCGCATGTTTGTGTAATGCTTAAATGTAACAATTTTCTAAACTCGTAGTTTTTCGCTATTCTAACACTAATATATGACCCAGGCAAATAATTTAACCTGAACACCACATTGGGCAACATTTTGCTTTTACTTTGCCAGGACCGGTCTAATGTCACGTGTCCCGCTGCGCGTTTGTCATTGTCAATTTTGTAAAGTTTATTGGTGGGAGGGTGTTCATACTCGCCAAAGAGTGAAAATCAACTCTCTCAAAAAAGGTGGACCAAAATATTGCTAAATAATCGCGTACATTTGAAATCTTGGCGATCATAATTTCTGTGCTTTAGGCCTCCCGCCAAGTTGTACAACTCGGATTATCGCATCGGGTCTAGTGAGACAAATTCGTATTATTAAACACAACAATAAGAATTTCTTATGGATTCTAAATGTATTGAATGTATCAGAAGAGTATTATTCCAATGCAGGATGTTTCAGTATAGTGAAAGTGGTTTCATACCAAAAAGTAATAAATATGAAACAGGACTATAAAATGCAGAATAATTGCTTAGAAACATATGAGCAAGCACAATATGTGCTCATCATGTGATGTGGGAATGTTACATCTTTCATATAGTGAATTTGGAAATTCTTTTTAAATGTTTGTCCCTGTTATGCATGATCTGAAGCTTTCTCAGCTACTAAGTACAGGCAGCCCTCGATTTGGGCCGGTTCAGAATAACGCCGATTTTGAAACCAGCAGGTCAAAATGTGAAAAGAAATACTATTATTTATAACGTTTTACAATGTATCTCGTACTGATTCTTATACTAAATCGTAATTTTTACATCGCTGATTTTGAATAAAAATTATAAATACAGTCATCTCTGCAATTACGTATGTTACGTTAACTCGAATTTACTCCAAAGAGATCGATGAATCGGTAAAAGCTGTTTGAAATGCAAACTTTTGCATATGCGAGTTTGCTCTTATGCAGTTTCATTCCTGGTGCTTTAAACTTTCAAAGGACTAATTTAATCTCTGCGGAGGTACCGGGGTTATTTTTACTACGCGATTTTCTATAGGTCAGCGTCTTACATGAATGCAACTATCGCATAACAGCAGAGATGACTGTACATATCAATCACATGAAAGAATCGCAGTCAATCGCGGGGTCCAACGAATTGCCGATTGTAAGTGTATAAAATATATTTTTTAAATTCCCTTTATTTTATTTACGTTATTTCAGAACTTTAAATGTAATGTCATTATATTACTCGTCAATGTTTAGGTGCTGGGAACGCAGGTCATTGACTTCCCTTTGATTTACATTATAAGAAGAGTTTCAATTTACACCGGTTCGTCAGGAACGTATCCCCGGCGTAAATCGAGGGCTACCTGTGTAATGAATCATTGGGCTACCAGCTGTGTCCGGTGGTTGACTGGAGAAAACACATGGTGTATTGTTTCTGTTTCCATTACTTTGTTTACATGCACAAATACATTACCCAAACACCATTAAGAAAGATATCCGTCTTCTGGGTTATTGCGCTTTGTAGTCTGGTCGATGTTAACCAACGTTTCAGAGGTCATACTGCCTCTGTCATCAGGGCGATGAGTATGAAGATTTCTGTCTTCTGGGTTGTTGCGCTGTGTATACGCCCTGATGACAGAGGCAGTATGACCTCTGAAACGTTGGTTAACATCGACCAGACTACACAGCGTAATAACCCAGAAGACGGATATCTTCATACTCACCGCTGTGAGAACCTCAAGTCTTACCATTAAGAAACTTAACTTTATAATACAGCCTTTTTTTGAAGTAGGAACCAATTTTTCATTTAAGAATTCTGGATACCAGACAAAATTGAATTCTGCTGGCTTAAATATTACATTTATTAATAAAACTACTCACAATTTCAAGTAGAGAAAACTTGGTCATTTATGTACAAATAGCAAAAATGCTGTTAATTTTGTCGTGTCTGTCTGCCTTCTAAATATGACAACTCAAGAACCTCTGAATAAATTATCATGAAGATGGCTGTCATGTCATGTTGTCTGGTAAAAGTTTCCTAACATTTCAGAAATCCTTGCCTGCATCATCAGGCCAATGACTCATTACACTGATGATGGAGGCAGCAAGGACCTCTTGAACAGTAAATTTCTACCAGACTTCACTTTTCCCACCATGTTTTACATCTCCTGCAAGATGTGTTCAAGAGATTCAAGGAAATGAACTGAGATGAAGCCACAGTAGTATATGCACAATTTGAATCCTGTATGACATTTCAGGCAAATATGTCTTTTTGGTTCTTGCACCTTGTAGTCTGGTGAAGTTTTCTGATGTGCTTCCTGACATCTTAAATTTTAATCCTGTCTGACTGCAACCTACCCTGCATGGTTTCATCAAATCCTCCAGTGATGTAGAGGGATGGTGGCTTCAGTTGGCTACCTCATCCCACAGCTGATGCTTGTACATAACAAAATGATGCAGCCAAGCAATTAACAATCCTGTTTTGTATTTGGTTGGTCCTGGGTTCAAATCTGGGCCTGGAGACCGGCAATCCTGACTTAAGTGCTGAACTCTTTTCCTCATTCCCATCAGATAAATTGCAGGATAGTTACCTTTCATGACATGCTGCTCCCACCCAAATTATTTCCCCTTCATTATTGCCACAATGGATCGTATCCTGAGCCAGTGAAAAAACATCCACTCCCTCACACACAGATCTATACCTAATGCTTCAACCTTAGTAATGGAAGAACCATTACTTGGGTTATGACAATATGTCAAAGTTTGCTAGCTTCTTATCGCTGTTAGAACCACACCCAAATTCCGAGCTGGAAAACCTCCACTTGACAGTTTCCTATGACAACTTATACTTCCTCCAGATCGCTTCCCTCCAGTAGAAACCCACAAATTAATGTAAACTGTCAACAATGCTTTCAACCTCAATCAGCAATCATTTATTCATTGACCAGTAATGACCATGATGATTACAGATGAGCAAAAGTAAGGAAATTAAAGGAGAAACAGAAGAGCATCAAGAACTGTTTTACTGAATAGGTTCAAAATTCTCAAAAACATTCTGATAATGTCTTAAAAAGAATCATTGTAATTGTATCCTTATGTTTAGAGCTTATAAAAGAGAATAACATTTTTCAGCACAAGTAATACTTGATACAACACTCAAAATGTTACATGAAGGTCTTATATTGCCTTGACCTCTGGCAATGGTATATTTGCCTCTTCAACAGCTAGATTCTTTGCAGTAATCGGTGGCAGGTCTTGGATACCATTCTTATCAATAAGCTGAACTTTGAAATTAGGCAAGTTGACAATAAGTCTCTTGTGAATCTCTCGCACACATTTTTTCATCAGTTCATAAGCATCTTCTTTACCCATATCTGTAATGTGTTAAATATGATCAGAATTAAAAGAGATGTCAAGAGAAAGCAAATGTTACAAACACAATTAGATAAGTCAAATACAATGAATCATTCATACACCACACTTTCTTTGTGTTTAGGAAGTCTCTGATTCAATTTATGGCCCAGGGGCCAGATATTGTGATAGGATTTTCTTTAGTTCCTATGAATACAAAGTTATAATTTAAAAAATATTTTTGATGAAAGTGAAACAGGCCTGATTAACTTCTATTCTCAATCACTAATACATTTGCAATCATCAGTAATAATTTTTTAGAAAAAAGGCATTTCCTAATTGGTCAATGTGCCCCTTATTATCTTCCTCCAATACAGCTACCCTGCAATGGTTCCACCTCTGTGGCCAGGGTTCTAGCCCTTGTAAAAGCATGGTGAATTTTTTCATGATCATGTATGAACTCTGTGTTACCTTTAAAATATATAATATAATTTAATTATAAAACACAAACATGACGCATTTAAACTTTAATCTGTGTTACCTGTTTTGTGATATCTATCCAGAATAGAAAGAGAAAAGAAGCCTCCATATCCATGAGTAGCATAAGGTACTTTCACCATTGATGCTAAATAATCCACAAAATACAGCTCTGAACCTGTTTCATCATTGTACCCAGCCAAAAGAAGGTTGACAAAGTAAGGTGTCTGCAAACAGTAATGCACATTATCACTACTTTTCCTCAAAACATGAATTAAAGATATTCTAAACAGAGACATACTTTCTTTCTATGAAATAACAATTAATGAATGCTACATAACACACATTAAACGAAACAAAGGCATTTTATGGATTCCTTGCAAGAAGTGCATAAAATGAATGAAAATGGGAAGTTTCTTTTGTTCATCCATTTGGATGTGTCATCTCAAAGTATTAAAATTCTGATGAACTTTCATACTAGGGAGGACCTCTCAGGCAAATTTCATTTCACATAAGATTTGAGGTTTTCACTGTGGTAAAAATGTGGATTCTCACCATGCAGCCTTTTAGGCATTTACCAATGTTTCAGAGAAACATATCACCTCCATCTTCAGGGTACTATTTTATACTCTGAAGACAGAAATGACATGTTCCTTTGAAACCTTGGTAACCACCTACTTGATTTTCAGTGACACTGCCCAAATGTGATTCTGATTTATATCAGCCCAACACAACTCCTATATAATATGTATCTCAGCTAATACATAATGTTTTTAATACAAAAAAACTTATTTTTGCTAGAACATGGACAGAAAGAATACAACTGAATGAAGATAATCAAGTTGTGAAGTTCCTTACTGCATGATTTTCTCCATCATCTTGTTACTTCCTCTTTGCTGGGTCTGAATATTCTCCTCAGCACTATGTTCTCAAACACCCTTAACCTATCATGTTCCTCCCTTAGAGTGAGATAGTAACATTCTACCCAACATGGCTAAAATATTATTTCTGTAACTAACCAACAAATTCCATGAACCAAAGATTATACAGTTATTGAAAAGTCATGCTTCATATATTGCACTCAAAACATTTTATATTTTAATATTTTCATTGTCCTGAAACTTACTTCCAATGGAGATCTGAATGTAATACTGCATAGTCTAATAGATATTGACCAAGGTTTCAGAGGAGCTTTCTGCCTCTATTATAAGCATGTTTTGATCATGAAGACAGTAAGCTCCTCTGAAAAATCAATCAATATCTACCAGACTACACAGTGTTTATCTCAGAAGAAAGCAGTTTCAGGACTGTCACCTTGAGAACCTCTTAGATCTCACTAAGATATATGAAACGTCAGGAACTACATTTGTTCAAGTATCCGATCATTAATTTCTCACCCGGCTTCTTAGGTAATCTGCCAAGTTTCGACGAGTGAAGTTAGCTGCAGCACTGGGAGACAGTTCATATCCATTCCTCATTTTGTAAAGCTGGATGTTTTTGGCAATATATTCTGCAAACTGGGTTGTGTCTCCAGACTCGCCAGATATTGCCATCACCAGTTTATTCGAAATCTTGTGTAGTTTATCTTCATCTAACACATAAAAAATATAATTAAAACAAATTAAAACTATGCATTTATAATGAAATACTCTTTCATGCAAATATGTAATACCTTCTGACATTTTAAGCAATTTCCAAAGATTAATAGTGAGAAAATGTATGGACTGGATTCAATTGACTGGGAGTTTCTCTACCTTGGCGATAAACATCCAGGATTTACAAAAGAGTAGAGTAGAGTTTATTTACATTCCATAGATCCTTCTTAAGACTCAACCAAAGGATGCAGAACATTTCATACAATATACATACACTTCAGAACTTCATACAATATATTAATACATAAACTTCAGAACTTTCAACATATTTCACATATCAATGTACATAAACTCCAGATTCTGCAATACAAGTATGAAAAATAATTTTACAAATTATATACATAAACCACAGAATTTTAAATAGAAATACAAAACTTGCTTTACATACAGATTATAGATATACATAGAGCTTACAAATTTTCAGCAGAGATGAAATCATCTACAGAATAGAAAGAGTGAGTAAAGAGGTAATCTTTCAATGCAGGCTTGAATACCTTTACATCATAATTTAGACTTTTAATTGTTGGTGGAAGATTATTAAATAACTTGATATCTGTATAGTGGGTTATCGGGACACAAAACGGGGGAGAGCTTACAAATTTTCAGCAGAGATGAAATCATCTACAGAATAGAAAGAGTGAGTAAAGAGGTAATCTTTCAATGCAGGCTTGAATACCTTTACATCATAATTTAGACTTTTAATTGTTGGTGGAAGATTATTAAATAACTTGATATCTGTATAGTGGGTTATCGGGACACAAAACGGGGGAGTCAGAAAGGCAAAGCCTGACATCATCTGGATTCATATTTAACCAAGTACAAATGATAACGGTGATATTTTTAAAACGATTCTAAAATCTATAAGCAAATTTTGGCCCCTGGAGACAGGTAGTAACAACAATTAACATCTCATGCATAACCAAATAATATATAATAATTTGTCATTTATTGAAATAAAATATAACTTTCAAGTATATGTCATTTATCCACACACATTAACCTAATCTAACCTACCTAAGCTAAGCTAAGCTAAGCTAACCTAACCTATTTTTAAAGCGATGTGTCCCAATAACCCACAAGTACCTACACTCCTTTTTGATATTTAGTAAGGTTAGCATCTGGCACACAGAGATCATGTTTACGTCTTGTATTTAAATTATGTACATCTGTATTTATTTTAAATTTATCCAAGTTTTCCACCACAAATGATAGCAAGCAGAGTATAAATTAAATTGCAAGTGGAAGTATATAACATGAAATTTTTACTTTGATTGTGATCTAAATTTAGAACTGGCTTATCTACAGTGACTTGGATATCTTTCAGGAATTTAGTGATACATTTGAGCCTTAACCTATAAAAGACCTACGTCTTACACCAGTGATTACAGGAATTTGTTGAGTAGCTGAGTAAACATCAGCTTTACTTGTAAAATCCCAAAACACGGAGAGTTTAAGAGGAAATAATTTAAATGTGCATGGTAATTTGATTCATCCCCAAGATAATCTGACTTTATCTGATATAAAAAAATCAATCCAGGAACATGACATTGTGGTGGTCCCTTACGAATATTCTCGGAATCTGCAACAACAAATTCAAAATTACAAAAAAACGATAGACAAATTACAAACGTTAATCGAACTTACCATCTTTCATAACCATAATACTATTAGAATTAGTCATATCGGCAGCAATAAGAACGAAATCTCGAAATGAAATTCCTATCAAACACTCCATTACTGTATGTTGAAACACTCCAACTTCCTATGATAACAGGATTACGTTAAAAGGCACAACAACGGTTAGTAATGTCAATACAATGACTTATACCACACATCAACCTCTTATTTGCCGTTTCATCCTCAATACACCAACGACAGGTTTGGCACTCAAGATTATTAAATACGAATATCCCTATGAAAGTAAATTCATTTATACTATTACCACCTCAACACAGTTGGATTTCAATGTTCGAGGAGGAGGTGATTGGGTTTACCTCTTTGTACTTTTTATTTTCTTAAATTTGGGCTACATGAATTTGGATCATTTTTAATTACGACATAATTTCGTACAGCACACGAACATAATTCTGTTGTGACACAGAACCACAACTAAAAATATAAGAAAGCTAAAGTTAACAAGTCCATGTGCATTAAGATATCAGTGGAACCAAAGAGTGAAACCATGACACTGTAGCTCTGAATGAATCTTCTAATCAACCGCTGCGATAATACAGTCCATCACAGATAATACTAAATCCATTGCTTGGACTCAAATATTGCCGGAGTGCCCGATTTTACGAACGGGCCCGCCCTTCTGTGTTCTGAAAAATTTGGGTTTTTGGATTATTTGTTGAGTACACGTGACATATCTGCTCTGATAGTGATAGTACGGTTTAGTATTGCCAATTTAAGGTATGTATACAAGTATAATATTACATTAATAATATACACGTGAAATCGGTGATAACGTGGGGTGATGGTGTAACGGTTATTTTGTACTATGTTAATAGAACAAACAGTTTTTCAGTTAGTAAGATATTTGGTGTATATAACATTTACGGAGACTCAACAAGAGTGATGTTAAAGTTATTTAATAACAAGTCACTAATAGTTTGGGGTAGGTGTGAACTATGTACTGAGGGTGATCAGGTCAACGTCCACACTTAACCTCGAATGTTAAGTGTTTGTGATGGGCATATTTACTATACCTGCTATTTAAAGGCAATTTTCTATATAAAGGGGTGCAATATTTTGTTATGTCTTCGTTATGTTAGCTACTCATGGAATGTTAACAGGAAAACCCAAGGACATCAAGTTATGGCTTAATGTAATCTGCCATTTGGTTTTATGAATAATTAATATTGTTTTATTAAGAGAGGTAAAATAGTTTCATAATGGGTCCTCTGCCTTGATGTAACGTGGATTATCTTAATAAGGCACAGTAAAAGTTCTTCCAAGTTCATGATGTTCAAGTGTGGTCACTTACTCACTGGCTTACTGCCTCCATCACCATCTCTGAAATGTCAATCAGTTTCTATGAGACTTCACAGTGCAGCATTGCAGCAGTCAGTCATCATCTTCATATTTGCTGCCAAGAGAACCAAAAATGTCATGTAGCTTCCATTTAATTAACTTCTATAAATTAGAGATACGTATATTATTCTCAGTTTGTAGGTTAAGTTCAAATTAAACCTTGTATATTTTGGAATGGATGATATCAAGGATAGCTTTTATGAAGAACTGGAATCAGTATTTGATACATTTGGCAAGTATCACATGAAAATTCTGCTAGGAGATTTCAATGCAAAAATTGGGAGGGAGGATATCTTCAAACCCACAATAGGCAGGGAGAGTCTCCATGCACTTAGTAATGATAACGGCGTAGAGCATTAACCTTCGCTACGTCAAAAGATTTAATTGTAAAAAGTACAAAATTTCCACACCGTGATGTTCATAAATAAACTTGGATTTCTCCAGATGGGAACACACACAATCAAATAGATCATGTGTTAGTAAATAATAGAAGGCACACGAATATAATTGATGTGAGGTCTTTCAGAGGGGCAGACTGTGACACTGATCATTATCTGGTGGTAGCAAAAGTGAGGGAGCGGGTTTCAGTAAGTAGACGAACTAAACAAAATTTTGACACAGAAAGATTTGATTTGAAAAAATTAAGTGAGGGAGAGGCAAAGGAACAATATCAAGTTGAAATTTCGAATAGGTTTCAAATTTTAGAGACAAATGAGGATAATGAAAGTGGGGACATCAACAGGGAGTGGGAAAATGTCAAAAACTGCATCAAAATTTCAGCAAAAGAGAAACTAGGATACTACAGGAGAAAGCAAAATAAACCGTGGTTTGATGAAGAATGTTCAAAATTAATAGATCGAAGGAAGCAAACAAAATTTCAATGGTTGCAGAACCCAAACAAAACAAATGCGGATAATCTATGTAACGTGAGACGTGAGGCTAGTAGAACCTTTAGGACTAAGAAAAGGGAATACCTGAAGGGCAAAATTGCTGAACTTGAGACAAATAATAAGGAAAAAAACATCAGAGACCTGTACAGAGGCATTAATAACTTTAAGAAAGGATATCAACCCCAGACCAATTTGGTAAAGGATGATAGTGGCAATTTGCTTGCAGATCCAATAAAAATTGTGAATAGGTGGAAAAATTTCTTTAGCGAGCTCTTAAATGTTCATAATACTGGTGATATTAGACAGATTAAAATGCATACAGCTGAACTGTTGGTGCCAGAACCTAGCTTAGATGAAGTGGAACTAGCCATTGGGAAGTTGAAAAGTTATAAATCTCCAGGAATTGATCAGATTCCGGCCGAATTAATTAAAGCAGGTGGCAAAGGGTTGCATATGAGGATCCATAAGCTTATTCAGTTAATTTGGGATAAGGAAGAGATGCCACATCAATGGAAGGAATCCATAATTATTCCTATTTATAAGAAGGGGGACAAGACTGAGTGTGGTAATTACCGAGGAATATCGCTGCTATCAACCTCATACAAAATTCTATCCAACATTCTTTTGGCAAGATTAACCCCATATGCGAATGAAACTATTGGGGATCATCAGTGTGGGTTCAGACGAAACAGATCAACGATTGATCAGATCTTTTGCATTCGTCAGATACTAGAGAAAAAATGGGAGTTCGGTGGGACTGTACATCAGTTATTTATAGATTTCAAAAAAGCCTATGACTCTGTGAAGAGAGAAGTGCTATATAATATTCTTATTGAATTTGGTATACCAAAGAAGCTAGTGGGTCTAATAAAAATGTGCTTAAATGAAACCTGCAGCAAAATTCGAGTAGGTAAATATGTATCTGAGACATTCCTCATCAAGAACGGTCTAAAACAAGGAGATGCTTTGTCTCCCTTGCTCTTTAACTTTGCGCTAGAATACGCCATCAGGAAGCGCGTGGTACTTAAACTGATTCGCCGGTCACCCACCGGAAGAACGCGCATAACTCCCGCCCACATCAACAGAGCGCCAGCCGACCACGCAATGGAAGCACGACCGCAGCCTCATAAATTGTACACCCGGTATATTCATATATAGTCAGATACATTAGAAGGCTACTTACCATATAAAAAATAACCACATTCTTACCACTGAGTAATCAGTTCATTATGTATATTTGCAGACACTGTTGAATGATGAAAAAGTATAATTTTGACCAAATGATTACTTTATTCAAACTACTTAGACCTTATACTGAATATCATTGATTTTTTATAAAAAATATACTATAATGGATTTTGAAACACAGCTGATTTCCTATAACTGTTATTTTTCGGTGGGACCGTGCATCAATTATTTATAAATTTCAAAAAAGCCTATGACTCTGTGAAGAGAGAAGTGCTATATAATATTCTTATTGAATTTGGTATACCAAAGAAGCTAGTGAGTCTAATAAAAATGTGCTTAAATGAAACCTGCAGCAAAATTCGAGTAGGTAAATATGTATCTGAGACATTCCTCATCAAGAACGGTCTAAAACAAGGAGATGCTTTGTCTCCCTTGCTCTTTAACTTTGCGCTAGAATACGCCATCAGGAAGGTCCAAGGTAGGCAGGAGGGTTGGCAATTGAACGGGACACATCAGCTATTGGCATATGCTGATGATGGTAATTTATTGGGGGACGATATAAATACAATAAAGAGGAACGCAGAAGTTTTACTAGAGGCTAGTAGACAGGTGGGGCTAGAAGTGCGCGTGGTACTTAAACTGATTCGCCGGTCACCCACCGGAAGAACGCGCATAACTCCCGCCCACATCAACAGAGCGCCAGCCGACCACGCAATGGAAGCACGACCGCAGCCTCATAAATTGTACACCCGGTATATTCATATATAGTCAGATACATTAGAAGGCTACTTACCATATAAAAAATAACCACATTCTTACCACTGAGTAATCAGTTCATTATGTATATTTGCAGACACTGTTGAATGATGAAAAAGTATAATTTTGACCAAATGATTACTTTATTCAAACTACTTAGACCTTATACTGAATATCATTGATTTTTTATAAAAAATATACTATAATGGATTTTGAAACACAGCTGATTTCCTATAACTGTTATGGTGAAGTTGGACATGCATCAGTTAGAAATAATCTGGATTGTTCAGAAGTATACTGATATTCCATGAGAGTAGAACATATGCAGAAAGTCCAGACATAAATTCTTGAAGACACTGTACACACTGGCTACAGTTTCGCAGCACTGGCAACATCCCCTCCAAAGTATTCAGATGATAAATCTTATGGTGAAGGTACCTGGCTGCAGACATCAACAAACTAAAATATGGTTGGTTGTAAAAACACAACTCTGTGAAGAATCTAGATTTTATTGTCCTCTAAGATCCATCAGAGTATATTAATATATTTCAACTAAAGCCTTTATAAAAGTTAACATAGCTTTTACAAAGGCCTTGATGCAGATAAATGTCTATTTTGGAAACAGTAATATAACTTCTGGATATTTTCTAAAAGAGAAAAGAATATCTAATGAGATATTCTTGAATTACAAACCAGTTTGATGCAAGAGTTACGGTTATAGTGCAGAGCCCTTATTCTGGCCAAACAATGACTAAGGTGGTTATATGAGTAGTCAATGGTATTTTCACAGTTCTCTTGGAAAGTACACAGCAGAAGTTGCTCTTGATCACTGCAGTGTTATAATTTAATTAATACATGGCTGCAAATAACCATGGATATTGACACAAATCCAGTGCTTAAAATTGTCTAGCTGGAAGACAGGTTTACAGAAGCAGTGAGTAAAATGAATGGCATGCACATATCTGTGAAAAAGGTTCTTTGCAACTTTTCATTTGTAACTGGCCTTGATGTTTATTAATTGCAAATGGAGATCTGATGTTAAAAATAGAACTATATATTTTTGCAGATCTAATCACACTGCAAAGAGTTATATATTATTTCCCTTGTTTTGTAAGTAACATATAATAAATTCCAGGAATGAAGGATTAATATCTCACTAGATTTTCAGTTAAATAGGTAGCTCTGATAGATATCACTTTCTTGGATAGGCTGTGGGATAAATTAGAATATTGTCTGCTGCATAAACAGTGGCAGCCATTGAAACTGTGTTGTGATATTACAGTTCATTTGGATACAATTTTATTTTCAAAAGTTATATACCTTATTCTGTTACACCCTGTACACCATCTGTAGTTGTGTCAGTGCTTTTAAATAGCTTAATAACATTATAAACTCTCAGTATTCATTTAAATTTATGTTGATATGTCTTTGGATGCTACTCATTTGTGTGCTTTCTGATTCTTAGCCATCAATAATGGCAGCACAGTGGTATAACTTTTATGAAGAAGAAATTTATATAGGCATACATTATGTGCAGAAATAGGCCACTAAGTTGTATAATTATTAATATTTAATTCTGTTTGTCTCTTTATGTAGACAGAAGAATTTAAAGAAAGTATATGTCATAGGTTCTTCCTAAAACATGTTTTAGTCATGTTAAAAATAAGTAATAATGAATATGTATGATCTAAGGCTTTCATGGCAATTAACATTAATAAAGTCTTCATAGGGTGGTTTAGACATACAGTTACATCATAGCCCTGATGATGGGAACAGAGATGGTCCTTGAAATGTCAGTGATTTTTAACCATGTGTCATGTCTGGTAGCCTGAGAAGACTTTTCCTATGTTTATTTGTATTATGTATTTATTTACAGTTCAAATCATGGCTGCAGTTAATGTTTATTCCACAAATGTGACTACAGATAATCTTAGCCGACATGACATGTTGTCTTGGGTTAATGACTGCTTGGCATCAAACTTCACCAAAATTGAAGAACTATGTACTGGTGCTGCATACTGTCAATTTATGGATATGCTTTTCCCAGGCAAGTTATTCTTATTGTGTCTGTTAGTATACTGAAAGTACATATGTATATAGTGGCTTACTACTTCGGCTACTTATTGTACATACAGCACATGGCTGTTACACTTTCTACCTGAAGAGTGTGAAACTGACTGAAATCTCATTTGATTTGACAGTCTGAGGTTCATTTATTTTTAGTAGATGTCAGAAACTGATGGCTGTGTAAAAAAAATGGAATGGCAAGACAAATAAATTTGTCTTAAAAAATTTGAACGGGAATAAAGGAAAAGTGAATTGTAATAGTTGCATATTTGTTTTGTAGGTAGTGTCGTCATAAAGAGGATCAAGTTCAGAACTAATCTGGAACATGAATATATTCAGAACTTTAAAACCCTTCAAGCAGCATTCAAGAAAATGAGTGTTGATAAGGTAAATGTCATTGCATTTTCCTTCTGAAGTGTTAAACATTGTATTTTCCACTAATTTTAAGGAACAATCTCTGTGCATGTGTTATTCATTGTCTGTTATGAACAGATTTGACATGTTTTTCATATATTGTCATGTTCACATACATATTAAGACAGACATATTTTAATTAATGGTTTTTCATGTCTTCATATGTAGTTCATGAATTTTATATGTAAGTCTGTGGGGAAATCCAAGTGCCTGTGATTTTAATAAAAAACACTGCTTGTATGTATGGGCATAATACAGGAGTTTTCTATATTTAATCAACACAGCCTCCATTTTCACAAATTTTATGAACTTGTCAGTCATGGATAGACATAACAGTAAAAACTTAAGTTCTGCCTCATATATAATATAGAGGAGGTACTGTGATAAGGTGAAGTAAAGTTTATTAACATGATATTCATGGATGTAGGGCCTACTCAAGATTTGGTTTAAATATTTTAGGGTATCAAGTCTGAATTAATTAGTAATGTTATTTTTATGTCTTAATCTGTAAATAGCTATTTAACAGTTTTTAAGTGCAGAATTTGTCTTGCGAGGCTATCTGGCTTGTGGTCACTTTGAAATAAGTAAGATTAGCTCAGGAAAAGGAAAATGTGAGCTGTGAAATAATAAGAAGGGAGAGAAAATTTGTCATTATTGGGGAATAGACATGTTTATGACACATGATTCTATTTAGGAATATGTTTGATGAAAGTAATATTTTGTGTTTGTGTGTATGTTACTTATTGCATTGGTGTTACATATAAGAGGAAATGTGTTGCAGCTAAGATGTCTAGCAACTAGGGGTCATGGCTTTGATCATGATTATTGGTTTGGATAACATTTTCCTTTTACATTGAGTTACATATTCTTATAGAATGTGTTTACATTAAGAGCTGGCTCAACTCTCTTACTCACAGTCATTTTTTAAAGACAATGTTTAAAAAATAAATCATAACTCCTACAATAATCCACATTTCTGAATGACATGTTCTTTTCTTGCTAAAACACTTTTATTATTCCCATTATGACTACTAATAATAGTTTTAGTATTACTGTCATTATTCTATCCAGTTCATGGTCACTGCCTGCAAATAATTTCTCATTCACTTCCATCAAATGTACTTTTTATTTATAGATGTTTATCTTGGCTTGACTATAAATTCAGTATTTCTATTTGTATGCTGTTGAGACAGGAAATGGTTTCTGCAAGAGATCACACAGTAGATAAAACAATGGATAATCATTCCTCACTGCATAAATTATAAGAACCTGATATGCACCAGGAAACTGGTGACGTGTGTGGCACATGTTACATTTAGAAGATGGGCATAATTTTATAGAATTTTGTGACATTTACAGTAATTTTAAACTCTTTCATTGCAGGTAATTCCTGTAGATAAATTGATTAAAGGCCGATTTCAGGACAATTTTGAATTCCTTCAGTGGTTCAAGAAGTTTTTTGATGCTAATTATGATGGTAGAGATTATGATGGCTATGAAGCTCGTGGATGCCAACCACTGGGCAGTGGAAGCAGAAATGGTAGTCTTCATCAGCTTCCAGTGGTGGTTTCTGCTCCAAATCGGCCTGCAGCAAAGCCCCATCCCCCATCACGCCCTGCTGTCATGAGGCAGCCTGGTAACATCATCCTGCCTTTTCCATGTGAATGTCCTTATGTTGTCATTACATTGCCTGTGTGACACTTGTAATCAGTCAAATTCTGTAATGCTAAAAGAACTTTCTGAAATTGATATCACAGAGAAAATAGTAACTATCATCATTCATCAACATTTCAGTCAGGAGGGATTGTCATCTAATAAAACCTCTTATATTTTTCTCTCTCTTATCTTAAGCACTGTTCCTAAATCTAGGTTTACTCTTTCTCTACTATGTTTGATGTATCTTTCCTTTTTGGTCTCTCCACCTTGTTGATCTCCGCAGTGGTCATTTATTCACCATCTTTATTTTTATGCCCTCAAAAATATCTTATTGTTCACTAATTTTTCTTGCAGGGATGCTGTTTTCAGTAATGCATAATGTCACTGCTTTACATTTTGTTCCATGTTTATCTTTTAATACTAAGTTAAAACTTCATGTCTCCTCATTATTTGCTTACATATTCAGCAAGATAAATTCTAAGAACAAAGTGGACAGATAAGAAAATAGGGGAATTCATAATTTAAGCAAGGGATCTCTCAAACACTGACAGCAGATTGTGCCGGATTCTTTATCCATATTTATATTTTCTATCTGTATATCTGTGGCACTTGCTTAGTTATGTTGCTCCTTTGTGTAAACAGTTAGTGTTGTGTTTACTGTAGGTTCTTCTCAGTATATCTTCATGTTGAAATGGTAAAAGGTACCCATGTTTCAGAGTAAGTTGCTGCTTCATTTTTAGGGTTGAAGTGTAGCACCATGTCAGAGTGACAACATTTACCAACATTTTGGAGGAGGAGTTGCATCTTTCAGGGTTGAAATACAGCACACATTGAAATATTAAAAATTAGTAATGTTTTGGAAGAGCTTACTGGATCTCAGTTGAGGACCAAAGTATAGCACATTGTTAAAGTTTCAGAAGTACTTGCTCTCTTCTTATACTGTCTCCAGTGCTGAAGTATAGTACCGTGTCAGAATTGTAATAATTACCATTGTTTCAGAGTTTTTATCACCAAAATATTGGTAATTTTTATCATTTCAACACAGTGTAATACTCAGAAGACTAGTGAATATTGTTCACCATGAAATATTATCTGATTCAGTTGAACTGAATTGTGGTCAGTGCAGTTTGAGGTAGTTTTAGTTGTCCCATGCTTTGTACTAAAAGTAGTGTTTGCTCATATGTACATGTTGACCAATCCTTCCCTCTATTGCTGCATACTTTTTTATATTCCCATAGTAGTATAGAAAGTATTAATAAAGAGTCAATTTAATGGATAACTACACCTTTGACATTTACATTTATAGCACCTTCTTTGGTGTAGACACCATCATTGAGAATGTAGGATATGTTTTATATTTAATCAACATAATGGGTGGAATGATTACACCATTTTGTGGGGGGAGTTGAAACAAGAAAAGATTCTTTTTGTACCCTTTTATCTCCTGTGTGGAGCATAGGGGCCTGCTTTTGGAGGTATGTGATCTACTTTTAGACATTTGGTAGGGACTTCTTGGACGAGTGATAAGCCCATCGCAAGACCTCTGCCAAAGACGGGTGAGAAATGGCCGCTGAATTTTGCTTACGAAACATCTCGTTATTGCTCGTAAGGTTGTTTTACATTCTGTAAATTTACAGCATGGGACCACCGGCTTTACTTCCCCTCCGAAGAAAGTCATACTACAGATATTTATCACCCTTAAAATTCCATCACCCTCAGCCAGGTTTGAACCTGCAAACCTTGGGTCCAGTGGCAAGCACGCTACCATTAGACCACGATGGGCAACAAATAAGAAAAGATTATAGGTTTAATGTTAGCATTCATTCTGAAGTTTTCTCTGCTCTTAATTTCATTACCAGTATCTCTTTTGTTACTGTTATTACAGAGTTCAGAGATGACTGTCTTCTGGGTTCTAGCACCATGTAGTCTTGTAGAAGTTACCATCATTTCATAGGTCCTCCATCTTCAGGTTGATCATCATTGCGCTGTTGCTACAACCTAGAAGACAGTGATCTTCATACTCCTTCATGAGAACCTTAAATCCTACTTATTACAAAGTGTTTATATTTTGTTATCATTTCAAAGTATTCAGTAATTCGTGTATTTGGTGACATATGGTTTTGTTGATCACAGAAGAACATGGGCATTCTGTGCTGATCACATTTATTTACAAACAGTATATGATGTGTGTTGCTGGCAGGATATCAGTATATTAATCACAGTTATGCAGTCAGACGTTTACAGATTATTTTCTTTGTCTTGTGTATTTGTCTGAATTCAGATTCTCGGGAAATACTTATTCTTTTAAGTGAAAGCATATGTGTGCCAACACTCAATGTTTGAGCAAGTTTTACATTGACACATCTTTTGTTATTGGTTTGGTCAAGAAAGAAAATTCTTTCTCGTGCACAGATCTTGACTGGTTACTTAAGTGCAAGTAATTTGTACTTACACAGCTGTTCATAAAGGCTATAGCATTACACAGCTGTTCATAAAGGCTATAGCATTCTTATCAGTCAGAAGTGATTTGCTGATTGCCATGTGGGTAGTCACGCAGGAAGAAAATTTACTCCAACGCAGGTACAAACAATGGCTTAAATCTGGGACATCATTGATAACAATTGGCAACATTGAAGTACAACTCTTGGAATATCGTAAAATATATTTTGGAGCCCCTTTTTTGAACAGTTATCGGAAGAAAAAGCAAGGCATGCTTATTTATAGCATGTCAGTATACCAGACACATCAATTCAGTGAAATTTTTATGGATTGTATTTGTAAACACAATCAGTAGAGGGTAGCAGCCTTCATGTTCCTTGTGTGAATGATGTGTGATTTCTGTCTTTCAGACAACTCAAAGCAGAAATTTACAGAAACTAACCACATTGTTTGTAGGGCTTAGAAATAAAGAACCAGAATATGACAGTCACAAAACAAATTCAGTTACTGTCTTAGAATAACTTACATTGTCATGAAGTGGTTATGGATATTGTTGAATGCCTCTTTCAGTAGCTTCTGTAAAAAGTATGGTAAACACAATATTTTTTATGCAAGTTTTTAAATAACATGCATTTGGTATGTATGCTAGAGTGCATATCATTCCTGTGTAACTATCCACATGGTAACCAACATATCAGAAGTTGCTGCACACGTAACACCATAGTCTTTACTATGAACTACTGTGTACAATATGTGATTTCCATTATCCTTTATTCCTGTCCTGTGTATTACAGAAACCATTTATTTTTATTTGCACCTTATGCATGTTCTGCATATTTCAGGGTCAGGCAGTAGTGAGCAGTTCTTTTCTTTTTGCAGTTATCTTTGATTTTTACACGCACTATTTTATTGTATTTTTATTTTGCACATACATTGCTTTTTTCAGATCGTTCCAGTAGATAGGCTAATCAAGGGAAGGTTTCAAGATAACTTTGAGTTTCTGCAGTGGTTCAAAAAGTTCTTTGATGCCAACTATTCTGGTGCGGATTATGATGCCTTGACAACTCGAGGGGGGGAACAAATGGGAAGTGGGGGTTCATCAGCACCTCGTGGGGGTGGTCAAATTGCAAAACGTGCACCTCCTTCTGTATCGGCTGCAGCCACGCGCCCCATCAAACAAACCGGTAAATACTTCAGGAAGTTTTATTTTATGTAACTTATTCAGTTATTATGCCTGTAGGAAAAAGTCTTACTGTTCTTACCACTTATGGGCAGTTGGTTTGTAACAGTAGGAGATTGAGATTGCCTTCAAATGACATGATGATGATACAACTTTTTGGACATGATTCAAAATATTCTTAATATAGATTGACTATAAAGAATAAAGTCCATGTGGATGCTTTTTCTATTCAGAATGGTATGAAGCAAGGATATTCGTTATTCACTGTTACTTTTCAAATTTGGTCTAAAATATGCTGTTAGGAAACTGGAAAGAACCAGAAAGTACTATAATTGTTTGCTGTTAATTTAACAAAAGGATAAATCCCACAAAGACAGCATAGAAATTATATTAGAGTGTGTGTGTGTGTGTATATATATATATATATATATATTTGCCTCATTCCCAGAATACAGGACAAAATCATAATATGAAGGTCACTAATAAATCCTTTAAAAAAATTTGTTGAATTGTGGTATTTGAGGATACAGTAAATAACAGATCAAAATTATCACACAGGAATTAAGAATAAATTACATTTGGAAATGGCGTGGAACCTTTCATTTCAAGATCTTTTTCTTGATGTCTTCTGTCTAAAAAAGTAAATATTAAAGTATTAGGAAATTACATAATTTTACCCATTGTTTTTGTGTATGTTTGAAACTTAGTTTCTTTTCCTTAAGGTAAGGACATGTGTTGAGGATATTTGAGGTCAGAATGGCAAGGGGAGAGAATTTTTGTACATAAGAGAAAGGAAGTAACACAGAGCTGGAGAAAATTGCATAGTGAATGTTTAATACTTTTAAAAATATTAGGTTAATCAAGTCAAGAAAAATTTGGTGGAGCATGCATGTTAGAGATGAAAAATTAATATAAAATGTTAATTCGAATACCTGAAGGGAGGAGACCACTTGGGAGATCTAGGCATACAGGGAAGGGGGCATAGGATAATTTTAAAATGGATTTGAAAGAAATATGGTTGGAAGGAATGGACTAGATTCATCTGACTTAGAATAGGTTCCAGCGGGGAGCTGTTGTGAACACAGTAATGAACCCTCAGGTTCCACAAAAGTATGACTAAATGACTACCATTAAAGAGGATTCAGCTGCATGGTGTTAGTGTTTATAAATGTTAATTTTAAAAATTGAAAGCTTCCTACACCAGTTTTAGCACACACAGAGAAATATTCAGAAACTGTATTTCATGCATATTTGATGCATGAGCACTACCACTAGGCTTATTGTAATCAACAGAAGGAAAATTGGCATTTTTGGTACTTGAAAGAATATATACAGACATGATATAGTGCAGTATGATAAGGTCTTTCTCTGCATTAGAAGTATATTAAAAACTGCATGGGGCTTGCATTATTGATGTCAAAGAGTCAGCGAATCACTTAAAAATACATGCCTTGTAAACTTACTGGCTATCCATCATATGTTGACTAGGTTAATTTAAAAAAGTCAGTGATAAGTGATTCAACTTTCTCTGTGTTCTACATCTCCTAGTCTATTTTGTATGTGTTTATGTGTGTGTGTGTACATGTTGATTCTTTTTATTTATTTTTGCCCACTGAAAACTGAAAATATTGAGTAGAAATTATCTGTCTGTGTCTTCCTCGGTGTATTGCATCCTTATAGGGTTTTCTCTTTGTAAGTTCTAATAATATAATTGTGTTGTGCACTATTCAAGAAGCCTTTTTATAAGGACAAAGTGATATTTCCCAAATTGCTATACATGTATCTGAATTCCTGTTGCAATGTGGCATAAATGATTTATGCAAAACACAACTGTAGCATGTCATACAAGTTTGGTACATAAGTTTCTTGTATATTTTCCTCCTCCTCCCCCCTCAAAAAAAGAGGAGGAAGGCTGTTAAATACTGATATAGACAGTATTAATTTTGTTGGTTTATTCAAAAGTAAATGATGCAAATCTTGTAGGATTTGAGGTTTTCGGTGGTAAGTCTGAAGATGGCTGTCTTCTGTGTTGTTGTGACGTGTAATCTGGTAAAAGTTTACTGACGTTTCAGAGGTCCTTGCTGCCTCCATTGTCACCCTGATGATGGAGGTAACAAAGACCTGTGAAACATTGGTAAACTTCTACCACACTACATGGTGCAACAACCCAGAAGACAGCCATCTGCAGTGCAAATCATAATACAGTGAAGAATAGGATTATGTGTAAATAAAGTGTGTTAACACATTTGCTTGAACTAAGTCTGAATGAGAGTCCATTATCTCACCCCAAGACCTCTAGGTTCCGTTAATTGGTGTCAGATTATTAATGCAGTGAATAGAACTGCTTGGAGCCTGCATTAACAAGCATTTTCAAGATAAAATTGTAGTTGAACATAGAATAGCAATTTGTCAGATGGATGAAGTCTGGGTTTTCCAAATTAAAAAATGCCCACTGTATATTTTCTTCTTATTGAATTTCTTGTTGTATGACATCCAGTTGAAATATCTATAGTTATTACTGTTTTATCAAATAGACAAGAACAGTAATGCTAGTTTATTAGGTGATCCTGATTTATGGAAATGTAAAGAAACTATTGTCCGCGAGGCACGAGAGTAGATGTGGCCTTGTCAGCCGTTGCTTGTGTGGCAGGGGGGAAAGTGGGTTCTGAGCATGTGCTGGTGATGTATTCCTTACCTAAGAACATTATGCTATCTGTCAGTCAGTACATTAGCTCACGACGTACGGCCTGTAAAACTGCGGGTGTTTTTTGGGTCCGCTAGTAGCACAGAATTCTACCCCACCTCCCTCAAAGATGTCAGGTCTACTCTCGTGCCTTGCGGACAATGTATTGAATACATATGCAAGAATTCTAGAACTCTACCATGCCTGTTAATCAGACTCTGTTTCCTGTCACAGTGCCAAAAATGAATCCCCCTTCTCGTGCACTCCCAAACAGAAATCAAGGAGTTGTCATTCAGAAAGGAGATGCTGGCAGAGTTGAGGAACTTAACACACAGGTGAGAATTCATTGCAAAAATGGTTTTATTGTGAAGTATGGGAATGCATACCTGAAGGCATTTGTTATTGTTTATTATCTCTTCTTATGTACTTGTTCCATGGATAGTTGGTCAGTTAATGAGTTTACAGTTGACTCATCTGCATTTGTAAGATTTCAGGTTTTCACAGCGGTGAGTATGAAGATTGCTGTCTTCTGGGTTGTTGCGCTGTGTAGTCTGGTCGATGTTAACCAACATTTCTGAGGTCATACTGTCTCCGTCATCAGGGTGATGAATATGCCAATAGGGTGTGTGGGGCTAGGTTTATAGGTACCAGAATGTGAATGTAGTAGCCTGCCCCGAGCCAATCGGAGCAGGCGTGGGAGTGAACCAATAGGAGTGTGTGGGCGAGTGTGAGAGAGGGAGAAAAAGGAAAGGGAGAGGGGGGGGGCTCGGGAAGTGCGTCCGGTGGGACAAGGGAGTTCGGTTGAATGTGATCAGGGCACTGAAAAGGGCCAGGTTAGTGGTCTGGTTGATTCTGGCGGTGCTCTCTTGCTCGCTCTCGGAGTCCTCGAAGAGTGTGAATAAGAGGCTTCCAGGACCGGCTCAGGTGAAGTCCATCTTCCCTGTTGAAGTTATCGGGATGTAATTCAATCTTGATGGCTTCCCTGATTATCCGATCCATGTAGCCGGTTTTTGTGGAGAGGATAGAAGTGTCCCCGAGTTGTATGCGGTGTCCCATGTTGAAGCGATGTTCAGCAACCGCAGATTTTTCAGGCTGCCCGAGCCGGATGTGGTGCTCGTGCTCCCTGACCCTGGCCTCAACGGAACGGCCTCTCTGGCCGATGTAGACTTTGCCGCACTCGCAGGGAACGCTGTATATGCCAGGCGTCTTCAGTCCTAGGTCGTCCTTGACCTGGCCCTTTTCAGTGCCCCGATCACATTCAACCGAACTCCCATGTCCCACTGGACGCACTTCCCGAGCCCCCCTCCCTCTCTCACACTTGCCCACACGCTCCTATTGGTTCATTCCCATGCCTGCTCTGGTTGGCTCGGGGCAGGCTACTACATTCACATTCCGGCACCTATAAACCTAACCCCACACACCCTATTGGCATATTCTTCGCCCTGATGACGGAGGCAGTATGACCTCTGAAACGTTTGTTAACATCGACCAGACTACACAGCGCAACAACCCAGAAGACAGAAATCTTCATCTGCATTTGTTATACAAAGTGATTCATAGATCTAATAGTGTACTTTAGGATGTTGTTGGGAAGATCATTTGGAGCAGAAATTGTAAATGAATGTGTTTCTTCAGACTTGTTACTGGTACTGTTGTCCAAGTGTGATAACTCTGCTTCACCCATCTGTACTTCCATGAACTCTCTGTACAGAGCCTGTGAAATGGTCACAGTAATACAAAGCGATGTCGGTGTAAGAATGTTTTGACTCGGAAATTATGGTGAATCTGAAAGAATATTATTTACATTTTCTGCTCCAAATGGTCCTCCCCCTTAGGTATTGTACTGGAGCATGGAAGCACCCTGTATGTAACTTAAAAACAAATCAAATTCAAATATATAAATTAAAATTATGTTAGTGACACTTCCTTTGAACCATGTAATTGTACCTCCATGGCTTAAATCACCAGTCTCATTAATGGTAACACAGTGTACTACATGAAGATGAGGTTGACATCAGTTGTAATATATAACATAACTGCCAGTAGTTCCTCATCAGACATGAAATTTCTTGTGATAGAGAATAAAACTGGTAATGTGTAAAATAAATTATTATTCTGCTATTGATATGGGTGCAAGTATTGTTGTTACCTTTACTCTTACATTTGACAGTGTCTAAGATTCAATGTTGAAAAATTATATTGTATGCCTAAAGTGCAAGTAATATCTTCATATCCATAACATAAGTCATGAGATAGGAAACACAATGATAGCAACAAAGAAGTTTCTGAAAATATTACAAGGAAATTTTGTTTGAATGTTGGCAGTTGCTATTATAATATACATATTTTTTTCCATGTAAACCCATTACTAAATCAGGGGTCATGTCATTAAAAAATACAAAATCAGTGCTGAAGTTATCAGATTATTTTTTGGAGAAGTAAACACATTGCTTATTCTGTGCAAAAACTTTTATAGTGTTTGACAAGTGATTTTAACTTACATCTTGATTTGTATTCATAATTTGCCTACATAGGTTGTTGAGTACTGCAATAAAGAGTTAAGGTGAAGGTAAATACGGAGTTCATGATTTTATAATTTCATGCAATTTGCAGCTCTTTATCAATCTGCAGAAAGGTGTAAATGCTGGGTTTCTTTTTATATCTGGTTCATTTTTAATATAGACATAAGAAAGCAATGTTTTCTTTTCAGTTACTGGATCTGAAGCTTACTGTGGATGGGCTTGAGAAGGAGAGAGATTTTTACTTTGGAAAACTGAGAGATATAGAAGTTATGTGTCAAGAGAATGACAATGAGCAGAACCCAATTATCCAAAAGATTCTGGACATCTTGTATGCTACTGAAGTGAGTCTAATGGAGATCTGAAAATTCTGTAATTTGCTGCCAAGTGGGTTAGCACAGCAGTAACAAGCCTTGTTTGAATTCCAGCTGGAGTCTGGGCCTGGATATCATGATGTCCTTGTATCCGCTTTCTCCTAATAACTTTTGAACCAGTTGATAAATTTTGATGTATCTTCATATCTACATTATGCTATTGGAGGTCCCCTACCTTTATGCTTTTCAAATACCTGCCATCAGTACTACTATCACAAGATCCTGAAACTGTGCAATAATAAATCAGTTACTTGGTAATAACCACTGAATCACTGGTGCTAACCATGTGACAAATCAGCAACATATATTCATATTCTGTATGAAGCAATTCTTATATTACCACTTGCAAAAGTCTGAGCTTGTATGGGACACGTTTAATGAAGTCAGCGTTTGTACTAGTGGAAATAATCTACAGGAGTTGATCACTAAATTTTGTAATTATTTAATGTCTTTGCTAGAACCTGTATAGTTTTTGAAGCATTTGAAAGAAAATGAGTGTCAAATTTTGCCAGAATTCCTTATTTATGAATACTAGGAATGGCCTTAAAATAGGATACATAAACTTTCTTTCCATATCCCTTCCAATTTTTACTAATTTTAATTTGCTGATACAGATTCTCAGCTGACACAGTGTCATCATAAAACCAAACATAAATTCAGAAATTGCCTCCAAGGTTTCTACAAATTATTCATCATACTTGTGTCTGGGAGGATGTATGAATGAAAAGGGGAGACAGATTTATCGGTTGGGTTTTTGAGTCATAACATCATGTGGACTTGTAGGTATATACCAGTGTTTTGGAGGAATGTAATGTCTCTATCATCTACAAGTGAAAATGGCATTACAACATAGAAGACCAACATTGAAATCTTCATCGCTGTGAGAACCTCAAATTTCACATGAGAGACAGATTATGATAGTTAAATATATGTGGAAAAAAAGTTATGAGGTGCGTTTCAAAAAGTAACAGCAAATTGACAATGTTTCACAAAACGAATATCCCAGGCATTTCAAACTCCCGTGCAGGGAAGATAAATTCTTAGACAAGGTTTTAACACCGCCCAATAGATGGCATGGCGTGCTTAATGGAAAGGGATGCATATACAAAATGGCGGCGCCCTTAGCTGTTTGCACCGTAGAGGAACAGCGAGAAGTCATCAGATTTTTGTGGTCAGAGGGTGTGAAACATCATGAAATTCATAGAAGAATGCTGCAACAGTATGGAGATGCTTGCATTGGTCTAGAGAAGAGTGGGTAGATGGGCGAACATCAATCTGTGATGACCAATGCTCTGGTCGTCCATGATAACGCATGCCCTCACACGGCTGCTGCAACTCTTGACAGCATTCGGAGATTGAGATTTCAGATCTTACAGGATCCCCCATACGGCCCTGACCTTGCTCCCTCTGATTATCATGTGTTTGGACCCCTGAAGGACGCTTTGAGAGGACGAAGATTTGGGAATGATGGCGAGGTCAAAGAAGCGGTGCATTTCTGGCTGAAGGCACAACCAAAACCATTTTTTTGTGATGGAATAAAGAAGTTGGTGCAGTGGTGTGAGAAGTGTATTGAAAAGGAGGGTGATTATGTAGAAAAATGACATATCATTTGTATCTCTAATTAAATTATATATCTCAAAATATTTAATTTGCTGTTACTTTTTGAAACGCCCTCGTATATCTTACTAGGCTTGATCTAAAGTTTTTTGAATGTATCAAAGTATACAATTACATTCGAAGACCTACTTGAATGCATTGAAGGCTGATTTTGTATTAAATTATGCGACTTCCCATATAGAAATAATGACTAACCTTTATTGCCTGTTATTGCAACTTAATGTGGTCCAGCTAGCCATGTGTCACAGTTGTATTGCTGAACTTTTAAATCTGTTAGTTGAAGTCTAGCTGACAGTTGCATAGTGCACGGATTTAAATCCCCAATTTCCCATATGTTGAAGGTTAAGGAAGATAGGAGGTATGGAAAAGCAAACTCCAAATTACATTAGAAATATTTCTTAAATGCATTCTTCGGGATATTGGACGTCTTTTCCCTTGGCATTAACTTATTGCAGATAGAAATTTATTGTGGCAAAGCTGTTAAAATTATTTTTCTTTGCATTTTTTAACTAGTTGGTGTTTTGAAAAATGTTCAGATAAAAGTTTTAGACTTTAAAGAGACATGCATTGTCATGTATCATATTTTTGTGTGGTCCAATTTTGAGAAAATTTACATTTGATTTGAAGTTCATGTGAAGTTGGAGTTATTTTTTTAATGATATTGATCAATACTAAACTCAACTTTTAGTGTACACATCCCCTGATCCCCCATATTACTCTCCCCCCCCCCCAC